TAACAAATTAGTGCAAGCAATTGTCGCCCGTATTAACTTCCACACCATTTTTTCCACACGTCTCATTTTTTAGTTTTTCACCATCTTTATTTGTTTTTATATTCATTTGTTTATTGTTGGCCCATGGACAGTTTTACTTACCCGTGGTACAACCAGTTGGACAGAACGGGTGCATCACGGGTCGGGAGCGAAATTTATAGGGTACTTTCCGTTGTCGGGGCAACAGGGACTTCCTTTCTAGGGTATACCTGGCTCCCCGGCTATTAGTACCCGAGACGGCGTGCGGTTTTAGTCGGTTCGAGTCCGACATGCCACCACAAAAAAAAGGGGTACTTCCCATTGAACTAAAACTATTAAATTTGGCAATTAACATCGTCTTATACTACAAGCACAGGGAAAAATCTGAAAACTATACATTTGTAATTCCATTACAAAAACAATTTCACTTATAAAACACAATAATATAAGTAATCAGAGGTTTTGGAAACTGAAACTTTCGTTTTATTTAATTGATTATACTCAAGTTTGGCCCCAACCTTAAATTGAAAAGAAACATTCTGGTAAATGGAAAATTAAGAGATGATGAATACAGCTCATGAAAACTTATCATGATCTTCGTGCATTCTACTCAGTAATCGTTTTTTTTTAAGTTAATTGTTCTAATGTGCAAATATTAATTTAGTTACGCTGTGATTAAGATCAAAACAATGTAGATACGTACTTATATATTTTGTATACAAATGGCTTTTGGCCGCTCGTTCGATCGCATTAATGTCGATTTTGTCAAACAATTTTTCAGACTGTAACCAGTCTTTGTGTCTTACATCTAAATCTGTTCATCCGTTTTGGTGGTGTAACAAATATACATACAATCATTTCCGTTTATAATGTTCTACGGGCTAAGCCAGATGTACAGACAACAAAGATGTATCTATAAGGTCCAGTACCCTACTGACGATGTGAAGTCTTAAATGTCATTGTGTGTTTGCCAGTTAATAAATACTTTAGTTTGTCGGCCGAGTTAGTGTTTGGCTTAAAACATAAGTTCAAGTAAGAGAAAGAGCTCTCAGTCTCTGTTTGAAGGCAGATAAAGGCCACTTTCCCCGTTAACCTAGTTGCGGTGTGAGTGGTGTGAGCCCTAGCTGAGTTGTGTCGCGAAATCAATGAAGAGGGAGCGCGGGATCGATGCCGGTCGCGACACTCCGGCGCCAGACGCGTCCGCGACACACCGGGAGGAACGATATACACAATTTACATTATTTTTATTAGTTAACAGCATAAAATAAAAACAGAAATGGTATTGTAATCGCTGTGTGTATATTTTGAAAATGAATATAAGAATCAGGGTAGTAGAAATCAGCAGAATTCAGTTCGGATTGGGTTATTCTGACTCGTTCTGCATCTCATATTTAAGCAGACTGGGTTAGAACGGATTTAAATTTGAAGATATGACGAAAACTCACCTTCGCAGTAATCATCTTCTCAATTCTACATGTAAACATCATATATTTTCTTTCGACAAATCCGGTAAAAGGCTGTATTTTACAACTTAAATGTAATAGATTAACATCTATAACCAGTTTGTAACACAGGACTCACACCTTTTGGAATTATCTAACAGTTATGATCTGAGATATATTAATGTGGTCTATATTTCTAAAATATTCCTAAACTTAAAAGGTATCTGCCCGTGTTTAAGTACCACTCAATTCAGAACTTATAATGTATATAATCAATTATAAATTAATTTATGATTAATTAATACATTTTAAGTTATATTACAATTTATTATTAAAAAAATTACAAAGCGTACTTTAATAGCGAATCGAATAAAAAGGAAAAAAGAGTACTCTACTTTCTACCTCTTCCTCAGACGTCCCTACTTCTTCATTAGAACACCGCTATTAAGACCAATCTGTTGGACTCCCATGAACCCAAAACTTGACAGGATTACCACTGAAGAGTTCCACTATCCAACTCTAGGCTTCATAATCAGACAGACAGTACTGTCATCCATCCAATTCAAGAAAAGAGTGTACTGTTTCCTCAAAGGCTGGCAACTCGCTTGTGACTCCTGAGTTGAGGCGTTCATGGGCGGCGGTAGTCGTTTTCCATCAGGTAAGCCGACTGCTTCCTATTCCATAAAAAAATCTATACGGTAATTTGAAGTTGGAGGCCTAAAAAGTCCGACAATAGTCTCTCTACAGAAATGCGATATCGCCCAGTACTTGGATTGTGTAGGCCTAACGGGAGTCGCTCTTTGTAAAAAATCTGAGTTCAGTCGTGTCATCGTAGAATGAAAGGCTCGGAAGAGAAGAACGAATTTAAAGTTAGTAAAATTATCAGTAAAATATCATTGTAAGTGAAACTGGAAGCGATCAACTAGTCCTTTTTTTTAAAGATGCATTACGCATTTTATCTCGGTGTGTCGCTGGGACATCAGTTTTACTCTCGTTGGCGAGAGTTTTGGCAGCGAAAGAGGCGAAAGAGGCCAGTCGAGCTCGCCTCCGCCGTTCCGACGCAGTAAACAACCATACAACCGCCTCACAACTATCCACCTCAGAACACTTTCAACCTACACAACCGACTCAGAACCTACTGAAGCGAACAACTAGATGATGTAAAACATTCTTCTAGATAGAAAGGGTTTTTGGATTCCATTGCGTAGTACAGGTATGTCACTTAATGTTTTTTTTTTGATAAATTCAACTATGTCTGCGTCTGTTATTTATTAGTGGATCTCTGTATTGTGGTACTACTTCATCATTTCATATGAGTGACGATTTATTATTTATACGCGTGTCGAAACACTTACCAGTTGCAACATAGAATACTTCCTCTAACCGATTTTTGCTCTACCTATCCTCGCCTACGTTAAGTGAACGTAGGCTGTGTGAGCGATTGGATGGGATTAGAAGCAGTATTGCTTTTACTAAACCGAGTCCGTGTGGTGACGGATTAAGAATACAGTCTCACTACCCCTATTCATCCCGTGAGTGTCGACTAAGGGAGTAAACTACGCAGGAAAACAGCACTGCAAAGAGAAGGAAAACTTGAAACAAACCCTATACCAACCCGTCTGGCCAGCGGCGTGGTATAGTAGGCTAAAACCTCCTTTCTAAGGAGAGGCCTATGTTCAGCAGTGGACTAGTAAAGGCTGTTAATGATGATGATGAAACCTAGTTCATGTCCAAAATAGTAATTTATATTGAGTACTTTTCTCAAATGTTTACCATGTTGTAAGGCTTAAGTGAACATGTAAAATAAAGAATGTTTACGAGTCTAGAAACAACAGCTATTTGATTGTAAATATTATATACAATAAAAATGTTTTTTTTGCAGCTTGTTGTTGAGAATTTTATTATTATTACAGAGCATGAAAATTGATAAAAATGCGTGATGTTTGGTTGTCTTGTCATTTTAATTTTGGTACTATTATAAACCTTAAATACTATTCTGGTATATTCGGTTATAACAGTTTTTTCTTTTCTGCATAAATTTGGTTCACATTCTTCTAGAAAGATCAGTTAGTGTATTTAAATTCTAAATAACAGGTAGAGCTAACACGACAGTGGATAATAATAATCTCAATTAATTATTTACATAACACCAACTTTTCCTTTAGTGACACTAAATTAAAGGGTTATGGCGATTAATATAAGATGCTAATAGACTAAAAATTAACCATAGTTATACAATACAAAGCAAATCGTATTATGGCAAAATCAAAAAAAGTATACCTACTTAAATTGTGTGTGTTTATGTGTATTAAATTTTCCTTATTTAATGTTATTACGCTACGTGAACATTTAGTAGCCAATCACTGCGTATTTAAACAGTACCGGTTTTCGGCGGTGCATGCTCCAACATCAAAATCTGTGAATGGTGGTGTCCCGCAAGGCACACTGTTTCTTCTGCATATCAATTATATTTTGCGAATTAGTAGCATCCATTGCTATGCAGATGATAGTACGGGAGATGCCCTTTACACCGGCCGCCCCAATATTTCTCGGGAAAACGTCATCGAGAGTTGAAACAAACTTGTGTCTGAAATTGAAACTTCCTTAGCGGAGGTTCCAGATTAAGGTCGACTGAATCTAGTCCATTTTAACTAGGAAAACACAGACACAGGTTCGCACAACGAAGAGCGACCCAAATTGTCGATAGCCAAAAGATCTCCGACCGGCTCGATCCCTTGCGTTACTTAGAGATGTAGCTTCACTCTGCATTCTCTAACATATATATCATGGAAAGTGCTTTGAGAATTTGTTAGGACTAATACCGGCCGCAATTTTCAAGGCAAGACTTTCACCACTTGGATAACTGGCGGTCTACTTCTATGCGCTTTTGAAGACACTTTTGTCTCTCACAACCAATCTGTGGAACAAGTTATCGTCTGCGGTATTTCCGGACCGCTACGACCTTCGAACCTTCAAGAAAAGAGCGTACCTCAAAGGCCGGAAACGCGCTTGTGACTTCTGCCATTCTTCTGTCCTGTGGTGTGCATGGGCGTCTGCTCATTTGCCCACTCTTCCAAAATAAACAAAAAAAAAAAATGTTCAATGATCGATATCAGAATTATAATGCCCCATTCATCACCACCATCTTCATCACCTTTGTTACCTTTTCTCAATTTCGTTTGATGTGTAACTTTGCAAAGGGTTCTGGTTGGTTTCTTTTATCCGGCCGCTTGAGGCTGACCCTTTTGGAAGATGGAATAAATTCGTTTTCTGCAAGCTCATACTTATTAACTTCGCTGGTTCAGCTACCCAAAATGTGCCTTGGCCTCCGACATTAAAGTGCGCGATTCTACCCTATTCTGTGTCAGTTCAGACCAATCAACCTCATCTTTCCAGCGGCATCTGAAAGCACATAAAAAAAGATAAATGGGGTTAAAGAAAAAACAATATTATGTACTTGTATGTCATTTAATCAGCATGGGACGAAATAACCAAGAATTTCAATAAATAATTTTTTATAATTTAGTTGTCTATAGAAGGATGGGTTTCGGTGGGGGTGTGACCGGGGTGGCAGCGGGGGTGCTCAGCGCGGAGGTGTGCGCGCCCCTACTGCTGCTTTGCTGGCTTTGCTGCTGGCCTGACGACGCGAACTCAGGTGAATATGTTTTACGTTTATGAGATTCAAAAAAAATTGAAATACTAGGGTATTCGCTTTATTAGCCAGAGAGTAACAGAGTTCCTCCACTCCACTCCTAGCGTGATGTTTTCTACAACGGGCGTAAAGAACTGGACATCAAAGAAAATTTTATTACTGGTGTGGACTGAAGACATGCCGTAATTAGCATGTTCAACCAAGAAAATAAACTATTTGGTTTAACCCTGACTGCTACGCCAGAGGTCGTGGGTTCAGTTCCCAACTAGGACAAATAATTGTGGGATTAGCACGGACGTTTGTTCTCTGTCTGGGTGTACTTTATCTTTAATATGTATGTATTTAGAAATATATAAGTAAGTTTATCAGCAGTCCGGTTACCATAGGCTCTGCCTAATTTGGGCTCAGACGCCCCGTGTGAGATGTGTGAAAATATTATTATTATTATTATCTTACACAGACAGTATTTTTTTAATTTAAGATTAGGATTTCTTTATAAAATTATGTATAATGCAGGTCATGTTCACTATCAAAGTTTATGGTATACGTATCTGGCTAGATCTATTTAGGAAATGACTGGAAGGAAGCCTCCCTTACAGTCATTCCCGCTATTCAGCTATCATTTATAAGTTTCTTGTTTCTTGTGATATTTCAGATAGTACATCTGGTAAACACCCACAGCGGCCAGTCCTTGCCCACGTTCACGGTATGTATCCATGTATGCAATTAAATAACTAACTACACTCAATTCAAAGTTAATAGAACTTTTATTGACAAATTTAAATTTAAGAAGAAAAAGAATAAAACATTATTGTTTTATTTGCTTTATAGTCTCCACGACAGATACGACACCACTGTTGAGAATTGAAAAGTATTTGTGTTTGTTTAATGTCCAAAATATAAATATGAAACAAATACTAAAACTAAGAAAACTTCATACTTTCGTCGTTTAATGATGGGTTATATAGTACCTAACAAGAGTTTCCATACTCAGAACAATAATTCTGTAGATCACACAAAGTGTTGTCCCATGTGGGGATCGAAATCACAACTGTCAGCGCAGTAGGAAGCGGCGATGTCATTTGATTTTCCTGACGCTTCGAACAGTAATAATATAAGCTAAACATGCAATAAGCGTGCAATAAATCGGAGCCTACACATAAACTAAAACTGAAAAATAGAATGTATTTTATTTCGATTACTGAAGGGAGTATTGTTAGGGATCTAGGAATGTAGTTGTACCCTAACCCTAACTAACAGATGGTAACCATTCTAAACCTTGTGGTGCCCGTAACACAGGCATTGCACTACGAAATATGTCACAAATTATGTTATATTCTTAAGTAACAGTTACATCTGCTGAAGGTACAAAAGTGGCCCAACGTGGGGCCCATTGAGGATAATGGTCTTATGCTTTCAGAGTCTGGTTCCCGGCGACGCTCAAGTGATATATTCGGCCGACGTATCGGGAGCAGTGCTGTGTCTCTACACCTACCTAGTACTTCAGGTAAATATCTAACCAAATAGTACCTGAAACCAAAATAAATACACACTTATTTTGGTGTTGGTAATTTATAAAATTTCAGTAAATTTAAATCATTCCCTACTTGTCGTTGAAGTAAAATTCATAAAGTGACCTTATAAATTAAAACAAAAGATACGCCTTGACCCACTTGAAGATTTTTTGACAATCGGCCAAAAGTTCTTAGCTCCTTTTTTTTGTCTACGGAGAAAACCACTTATTTTTAGAATAAGAATAAAGTCGTGAATAAAATTTATTTTGTATTAGATGTATAGTTGGCTTATAAATAAACATATCCAGGCATATAATACAAATATTTATATTGAGCGGGAATCTTTACTATCTTACCATGTCTTTACTGTCCAGTTACTTATGTCCTTATGTCCAGATTACTTTAATCCAGGTTACAAGAAACCTCTGTCAGCCCACCGCAGTCACGAAGAAATCCCCAGGCGTCGCAAATCAAACCATGAAACCAGCGACCAGGAAACACGATACCACTCAGCACCTAGTGTAATTGATGAGGTCCTACACAGGAGAGACTGGGAACGATCCAGCAAAGATCTCTACATTCCTCTTAACCCAGAAAAAAATGAGAACCAATCGAGGAGAGTCGAGAATCAAGAAGAAATCGAGTCTGACTCTAGTGAAAGTCCTAATATTGCCCCATATGCAGAAGCGGAGTCATCTTCAATAGAAGCTAAGAGTGATGAACATATTTCTGGGAAAACTTGCAAAAAACATCACACAAACATAAAGTCATCTCGTGGCAAGAAGGAAAAAGAATCCGTCGACATAAAAGATTCTGACGCCACAGAATCTACTTTCTATATTGGAGACACTCACGAAGAAGAAACGATGTTAAAAAATAACGATATGAAACGGGAGGAACTACAAACCAAGTCTATGTACAAAGCCAAGGATGCAAAACAGTCTTTTAATGAGTCTGTTAGATCTAAAGAACGTCCTAGAGGTTCTTTGGCTCCTGTGGATGAAACTCTCACGTACACCCTCGGTTTTTGTCTGGATGATGTTATAGAACAGCTGGACCGTTCAGGAGCTGAGCATCACACTATCGAATCCCGGCTCAGTATTAACAGGCATATTTTCCCGCCGCCTTCTGTTGGTGAGTCTACTTGAAATTGTAACCTCACTGTGGCTTGTCTTTGTCTTGTTTCTGTTCTTAAATTTTCTTCTAAACTCTCCTTCTCATACAGGGGACCCAGAAACTATTATTTATAATCGTTTATTTTTTTGCGTCATAAACATCATCGAATGAGAAAAAGACTACTCAAATTCATAAAATTTTGAGACCAAAATTTGCGACCAAAGGCAAACCTACTGCTGACCAAACATGAACAAAAATGCATATTTAAGATATTAAAATACTTTGTTAGGAGGATATTCAGTAACTATACTGAAATTAATTGGATTTATTTACAGGAAAAGTATAAATTTATTATTACCATAACATTATCTGTGCCAGTTGGCAAAAGGTTTTAAATAAACACTTTTAAATATATTTTGTTTGAAAACAGATAAGGAATAGTTAGTATTGATGAGTAAACTAAACAAAAATGGCGGTTTCAAAATGCCTCTGCTGCTGCTAAAATTCTAATTTCTAAATTAAAATAACAAAGACAGTTATAGTTATATTTATTTAATATACATTGTATTAATGTTAATGAGCAACAATATTAACACACATAAAACAATCTTTGTTGATTTTTGGATTTCCTGTCTAACCCCCAAATAAAAACTGTCGCTTGCTTTGTATCGCACTTTACGTGGCCCCTTCGAAAAGCTTTTACAGATAAAAGCCAATGCTTAGTCTGCAATATGTCGCACATGTGTGTTTGGCTGCATATGTATGGTGGAACAGAGCCGGTGGGGTATGATGGTGGCGCATGTTACTTGGCCGAAGTCGGTGACATGTCAGAGCTGCGGGCTCGCGCCGAGCGACCAGGGCCGGCACCGGACGCAAGGGTAGCGGCCCTGGGTGCGATGAGAGCAAGACATGCAAGTGACGGGGACATTCTTGCACCTCCGCATAGACCTGAGTCTGGAGCATTTTCAGGTGACGACAGACATTTTAAGGGTACCAGTGGTAGAAATGCTATTGCAATTAACTAATCAATTCTAAGTTATCTTAAGCCATGCAATAAACCTTAAACTTTCAATAGTCCATAATTTTGCATATAGTAACAGTGGTGTTGCGATACAAGATTAGAATTTGTTTATTAATGAAAACTATTTAACAGAGAGTGACCTGGACCTGGAGATAGAAGGCAGCGAGGAGCGCCCTCCTGCGTATGACGAGATACATCATTACGCTGCTCATGACCACAAGGAAACGGCCATATAATGCATCAAACATTCCTTTACTAATAAAAAATATATTATAAAATTTATAATATTTGTTTTAAGAGCTAAATTTATTTAAATTTTAAATAAGTATGTTATTATGAGTTTAGGATACTCTTAAATTACAGTTTAAATGTTAAAAAAATGTTTTCAGTGGTTTAACGGACCAGTAAATCGATTCTTCCTTCATAATTCTCTTAATCCTACTCTAACTCTCTATTTAATCTTTCAATCTCTTTGCCCTCTAATTGATATTTGGGCCTAAATTTATCGTTAATGATCAAAGGTTTTTTTTTTATAAAGAGACAACTTTCGCACTGGGAATATATCCTGTGTCGCGCGGTACTTTACAGATACATAGATATACATAAAACGGCACAAAGAACACCACACTCCGCCATCCGTGCAGTAACTAACACAAAATACCTTTTAAAAATATACTCGTATGTAATCGATACAAGCTATATAAATACTAACTCTGACTTTTGTATGTACGTGTAAATATTGTGAATATTGTTTATGCTTCGAATGAAACTAAAACTGTTAACTTGTTAATGTGTCCTTGTCAATCGTTAAATGTCGTTAAATTTAAATATTATTGTCTCTATGGCTATTGAACCCTAGTTGCAAAACGTTTAAAAAGGTCAGTGATTGACGAAGATAATGAAGTGAAAGAAAAAATACATTTATGTATAATGTTGACATCAAAGCAATGGCTGTAAAGGTACCAAATATAAAAGCAACGGCAATACTGACCTTATCACAATGGTTTAAGTACTATTTTCATCATTGCTAATAGTTTGGTTGTCGCAATTACCAAGGGCTTTGTCACTCACCGTTTGATGATCTCAAGTTCTCAATATGAGGGTATACGTACGTTTAATAACTTTAATTTAATTATACATTGCTCCGAGTAGACCAAGAACGAGGCAAGTATATCTATGCGGCCTGTAGGTAATTATTTACTGCGTTTAATTTCTTGGAATCGAAAAACAACACCACCAACATCTGCTGTTCAGATGCAAATCGCAGTAAAAATCATTGAATACACTTATATACTTGTTTCTGTCCTGCTTTACGAGCCCACTTTAGTTGTAAGTGAATAAATTTAAGAGTTAAATGTTAACAGAAATATATTTTATACAATTATATTTGACACGTAGTGAGAGTATTTTCTAGTAATAAGTAGCTTTGTTGATGTCAACGTCAATAAAATAAAACGAATGACGTGAATCGATGCGTAGATGCATCCGATGAACCCCAAGTACGGCCTTGTCTCAACACTAGTGTAGTTCTTTTTAGTTTGGGTCAATTAAGAGTGGTATTGGACACCAATGGACGGTCTGTAACGCTTTGTCACTTAAGTCAATGTGTCTCTAGTCAATCGTTTCGTGTTAATAAAGTTTATGTTACAAATATTATAATAGTTTCATTTCCGTAACTTCTTATTGTATTTACTGCCTTCATGGTCACACTATCGTTACTGAGGCTTATCTCGAGGGATTACTAGTACCCATTGAAGTGTTCTCTATTCACCTGCTAGATCCATCAGACACGAGACGCTGAATTATAAAAATACAATTAAACGTTCATCATAATGCAACAGTTATAGGAAGTTGTTTACTACTGAGATTTCACACAGTTACAACTTCACAAATGAAGCTAATAAAAGCATATTATGGTTATTTTTTGCACACTTACTTAATTCTAAAAAGTATTTACGTTTAATATTTCGCCAGCGGATCTCTAATGGCTTAGTGTAAGCTCATTACATATAAACTCGATCGTAACGGCCCACGATCGATTGGCCCACGCTAAAATAAAAATTAATAATAATAATATTAATATCAACCACTCACACACGGCCGCCTGATCCCAAACTAGACAGAGCCTGTGCTATGGTAACTAGACTGCTGATAACCATACTTATATATTTTTAAATACATACATATTATAGATAAGTTACACCCAGACACAGAACAAATGACCGTGCTCATCACACAATATTTGCCCTGGGTGGGAATCGAACCCACGACCTCCGACTGTTTACAAAAATATCAATTTGACTAAAGTTGCAGTTGTAAGAACTTAGTACACGACGACTTGGTGGACACAGGCTTGCGTTTGTGCGTGATGATCGAATGGCAAATAGATATGTCGAACAACAGAATAGATGTGTTGAAAAGCGTGCAGTAAAGGGTTAAACAATATTTTTCGAAGCTAGTTTAAACAGTAATTTAAAAGGTATACTTTGTGATTAACCCTATTTAAATTTAATGGAAAAATTCCACCCGTAAGGGTGAAAATTAAGGAATGAGTAATACATTCATAACAATTTATCAGAGGTAAGATCCTTGAAGTCGGTAATATATTTATTCGGTAATTACGTATTGTTGTTTCATTAACGAGCATTGAGCTCATTCAACACAAAGCAACTTTAAACAGACTTAGGTACTCTATATCGAGTACTTGACAAATGTTTTTTTAGAAAATTAAATAGACAAAAACTACAAGATGAATAGAACATAAGTATATAAAATTATAAGTCTCGCGGCCCAATTGTTCTATCGCAAAAACTTGTGAAATCTAATTGCAATTGTGTTATTAATATTATAGGCATTTGCGTTTCTTTAATAAATACAATGACTGATGAATAATAAATTATTGTTTGTCAATTATCGTCGCTAGAGGCGCCACTAGCGCGCCTCATAGGAACGGGTCACGTAATTAAGGTGCTGTAACATTTTAATCCAAAGTGTGTTCGTAACTAAACGAGTAGTGGTAACAGACTCCAGAGGCTGACTCCACCGGGAACATATACATACCTACACGGACATCAAATCATGGATAGAGACGAAGATCAGGTTAATGTATGTATTTAATCTAATTAATATTCGTTTAAATTGATCTAAATATAAATCCATAAAAAAATCTTGTGTATAATAGATTAGATTTAATTTAAATTAATGAAGAGTTCATTTAATCGTTAAGCGCTCAGGGCTCCAGGCTTATTTAAAATGGGCAAACATTAATGTACCTGTTTACTTCAGAAATAATGTTCTAGATTTATAATAATAATAATAAATTTATTGACAGTAAAGATTAACATAATTTGTTTAACAATGATAGCCACACTAGGCTTAGCCTGTGTCGAGGCTAGCAATACAAAAACGATTATACATTAGGACAGTAGCAATAATATTTGAATCTTTTATAAATCTCATATGAAACAATAGGAAGAGATCGCAGTTTACTACAATCTATATTTATTTAATTCACTAAGTTCAACTTGGAGCTATGTGTGTGTGTGTGTGTTTGTGTGTACATGTCTGAGTAGGTGTATTCGTCTGTCTGTCAGTTTAATTCTTATGTTGAAATTTTTTGCAATTGTTCGGTTTCTTTATGGTTAAGACAGCTCATGATATTACTGATTCCGTATTGTATCTTGTTTGAAATTATATCTTGTAAATATATGGAAACAAGAACTTTTGAAAGCGGTTTGGGAAGGATGATTTGTTTCTAGGAACAGGGACTTTGAAAATTCCTTTCCGTCAAGTAACCTCGGTACCAGTTTATCGCCCTCCCCTTATGCCAATGCCTTCCAATCTCTTAAGTAAGATTGGAATTGCCACAGTTTCAAAGGCCTTTGCGAGGTCTAAGAAGATTCCGATACATGCAAGGCCAGTGTCTAGATCTGTTGTAACAATTTCATTTGTTAATAAATTTACAGCGTTTTCAGTGGACTTTCTGATAAAATATTGTTTTTCTCAGTGTACTTAACTACAAGCTTTTTGCCTACTCTTTCTACTATCTTAGAAAAGACAGAAAGCAAGGAAATTGGTATATAATTATTAGCCGAATGGGTTTCTCCTCCCTTATGTATAGGTACAACAACAGCAGTCTTCCATTCTTGAGGGACGACTCCGGTTTATAAACTTGGTTAATAATATAGGTTAGCGGTTCCACTATATGATTCTTGACTTTTTTATGAGAAGGTTTTTGAGAAGGACTTTTTTATTTATAATTTGGCTAGCATTGTCAATAGAGTTAACAAAACGATCTATATATATTAGGGTGCTTCTTATTTTTCTACTTTTGAACAAATTACTGCGTCAGCCCGCCATTCACTTCTATCACATAAAAAACGCACCTATATTTTTTATTTTTTTCTTAGATAGGTTTTTAGGGGTCGCTACCTCATTCGTACGTGTATGAACTAGATCTCTGAATGCGCAGATTTTAATGTATATTTGTTCAGCTCTTTCTTGTCGTTTCAATAACAAAAAAAAACATAGTCTTAGGTACATAGAATTGAATAATTATTAAATTCGTTCAATTAAAACCCCTGAAGAACTGCTACTGAGCGACCCATAGTATGGGGTCTTTTTCAGGTTATAGTCATATTAGGTAAGAAGAGCTGAGGAGAGAAAGCTTTGATAAAGTCTTCTGTTGAAATGTATGTTGTTCTTTGATCACCCTATAGTAGGACAATAAGATATTTTCAGTTGTTTTTGTTAGTGTCCGAAATATGTTTGCGTGAAGTAGTTCGCTCTCTATACCTACACTGCAGCTAATTTAATGAGATTTGCCTAACATTGGTAATAGGTAAACTAATTTTATATATTTTTCCCTACATTGTAATGCGCAAAATGGTAAATGGCGCAGAGCTGTAGGCTTTAGGGTTAACAAACACAATGGATCAATTAGTTCATGGTTTATAATCCCATGTTGTTTCAACACGCTGCAGATTAAAGTGTACATAGTCAAACGAATAAACTTATACTTTCGGTAATATTCCTGGACGGTTTTCTTTAAAACGATCCGAAGCAGAACTATCAATTTGTTTTAATCTGGTCAAGACAAAGTTGCTTTTCATCTATAAGTGTTATCTTTTATTAATCGATCTAGTGTTTCTTTAATAAGTAGAAACTAATAGAGAAACGGCTCTGTGCCATTATATAAATATCTACACGGCCTTTACCAGTCATATAAAAAAAATTGCTTTTTGATTCATTAGTTTGCTTAATTCTTAAGCGGGAAAACCCTCTTGTCAGTCTTTTAAGTGGATGAGATCTCCTAGACCTGTTGAGGGAGAGTCAGTCATCGGCTCTGGCGCCCTTCTCGCTATAAACTCAAACCCTCTTTATTTCATAAATGTAGACTCTAAAGTCATAGATCAACACACACACAAAAGCAACAATCTCTATTTGTCAAATAGTAAGCAAATAAATTTAACAAAAATCAAACCCATACTAAATCTATGATATGCCTGTGCCGATCTACAACCGCCCGTTTCCAAGGGGTTGAGCCTTATGAGAAGAAAGGGCAAACAAACTCATGGCCACTCTTTTGCAATTCACATATAGAAACAATGGCACTATTAAATACTCGTATACCACAACATTGTTTTGATGTGTGCATAACAGATGAAACAATATATGTTCTTTACTTCCAAACTTTAATTAATCCTCGAACACGCTTATCTCTAAGGAAATACAATATTGGCTGTTTAGTAGTAATGAACAATTCGTTTTATCAGGACGTTTCATGGTCGCTAGATTAACAAACACTGAGGAAACTTGACTGTACACCCACTCAAACACACTTTAATATTATGAGTAGGTATATCACATCATCATCATTACATCAACAGCCTATAATAGTCCACTGCTGGACATAGGCCTCTCTTTAGAAAGGAGGTTTTGGCCTACAATACCACGCTTGCCAGGCGGGTTAGTATAATGTTTGTGTCAAGTTTTTCTTCTCTTTGCAGTGCTGTTGTCCTGCCTAGTTTGCTCCCTTAGTCGGCTCTTACGACACCCACGGGATGAATAAGGGTGTTTACATTCCGTGTTCTTAATCCGTCACCACACGGGATAAAAGGGAACACACAACAATATATACCTGCCGATAGCATATTTGAAATCAATTAAATCTACAGTAAGACTTAACATAGTTTAAACTAACTATGCTATATACCCGCGACTGTTGTTTTACATTAAACATGGTGTCCTATATACCTATTGTAAAACAGTTATGATATTTTGTAAATATTTTTCTCTTAATCGTTCCATTACACATATTAAATGGATATGAACATCTATTTCTTCTTAATCCAATTTTATTTTGTTACTTTTGCACGTGTGTATATTACTTGCTGATAATGTAGCTTTTCATTGGTAAAATAATTTTTGAAAAAGGTTCTGTGGTTTGGGCTTGAACGCGTAACAAACAAACTCATTTTTACCCGACTTCAAAAACTCAAAAAAGTAGGTTATCAATTCATCTGAATCCAAAATCCTTTATACTTTAAACCTTTCAATTGCCTGGCGTTCATTCTTGTCTACGAGATAGTGTTGATTCTCATGTGCGTACTTCATTATACACTATTATAGATACCAAAATTTACCAACTGTTTATTTTATTCACATAGAAACAGCCCGTGGTGCTGCTGAGTTACCTCGTGCTTGGTGTCATCTCTATCATCATTTTCGCTATCTATTGGTGCGGCTGCCGCCAACGTGGGATTCCTGGTGTAGTCCTGGGTACGTAGGTAGACTACGCACACTCTAAACATTTACGTTTATGATATAGCGTCCGTGTCCATCCAACACAAAGGAAGGATCCCCTCCGACCAGGCGAGGTGTTCATAGATCGAGGATATAAATGGCCGTGGCCCAGGGCTCCACAACTACAACTACAGCGCCATCTAAGGGATGGCGCTGTAGTTCGTTGCTTCGTTTCTTCGTGTGTGGAAGGCGTCACAGGTGCTTTCATCAATTTACTCTACAATAATATATCAGTCTTATTGGCGATAATATTCTGGACTGGACAGTGGTGACGTTTAAAAAAGTTAACTCACCATATAAGCAATAAACATATTGGTTATATTAAAGAACTGCGAACAGCTGATGAACGATTTCATTACCTGTCTTAAAACTAACTGGGCCTGTTGGTATAGTGGTTAAAGATCTTGACTGCTATGCTAGAGGTCGTGGGATCGATACCCACCACGGACAAATATTGCATGATGAGCGATCATTTCTTCTGTGTCTGTTTATCATTTATCTACAATAACAGTGTGACTAAAATTATAGTGGGAGAAATGATGGCGTTAAATGGGATTGCGGCGGATTAATACCAAGGCTTCACAAAAAACCGGTGTTAAACAATTCTTAGTCTCTCTAAGTTTGGTCTCTTCAGTTGCCGTTTGATCGTTTGCTTGCCTTCATCAAATATTTTTTTCTACTTATTAATGTAGTACATTACATTACAGGAATACCAAATTCTGTGCAGCCAAACACCGTAGTAGTTCCGTTTCAGAATGCGACCGGACCTTCGAATGTAGGACCACCGTACGTTGTATCGGGGTTCCACACAAATGTTCAAGGGGCTCCCTACCCTGTCGCGGTGCATGTTGATGCACAGTACCCAGCGGCACTATCAGGCGCAAGTGGTACGGGTGCCTCGATAATGAATCACGGTATGCTTTAGCAACATTTACGGTTAAACAGTGACAATTAAACACTAGAATCCTCATAAGAAAACCGACACATTTAGTATTCTGAAGAAATAGTTGTAACCAAACTGACGGCTGAGGGTAGGCTCTTAAGGATACCAATTGTGTGTGGTACAAACTTTTCTTGTGTTCCGTTGAAAGAGCATATATGCTATGTTTGAAAACACAAATGCTTAACCCCTTCATCACAAATGTTTCTAATCTTCTTTAACTATAGAGGCGCTCCCGAACTTTCAAGCTCATACAACTTCATGAACCAAGATAGTGTTCACTTCATCATTTTCTACCAACACAGACATGTTTAAAGGACTTTGTGCGAAAAATTCCTTCATTATATTTAATTAAAAATACGCTACAACCCTTATTTAATCCTGTCTTCTACCTTTTTTCTTTCCATGATTTCTGAATGTAAATACTGTGAACTAGAACAGTGTCTTTTCGATACTTTTTTCCTTCGTTACTTTTCTAACTGCAGGTTCGAATATAATTTAAAAATAAAACACACACCAGTCTGATGACCAATGGGATTTTCCTATAGATTTTTTTGAATATTTGAAACAATGGACTTGAAGTCCGTCTGATTAAATATGTTTTTCCTGTTTGCTTTATATAAATTATAGTAGCAGTTCTATCGGGAATCGATTCTCCATCGTTGGCAGTTTTTTCAATTGACAAACTTGATTTTGCTTTGCTCTTAAAATATGTCACCACCGATCTTTACAGTTTTCAAAAATTCCTATCAACTTATTTATTGGCGTTGTGAATTTAAGTGTGGTATACAGAGGCTACCGTAAATATGCTAATGGAAACTTATATTAATTACGAGTATCTAACAAATATACCACAATTTAACTCAGGAGCGAAGATCTCCAATTTGTTTGTGAAAATAATGATTTCACAATTGAACAATTGATACTATTATGTGGAATACTATCATCATCAACAGCCTTTAATAGTCTACTGCTGGTCATAGACCTCTCCTTAGAAAGGAGGTTTAATACTGTATTAGTATTTAATATTACCTAGCACCTTATAAGGTCAGAAAATAAAAAACCCTAGATCAAGGTCTCTCCACCCGTTTTTAAACATTCCTCTGAGTGTAATCTGAGTTTCTTGGCATGCAAAAATATTGTCATGTTCCAGAGGCTCCACCGGCGTACAACCGAACGCAACCAGAACAGGTTCCCCTAGTCAAATAAGCCATGAGGAGGTCACGTCATCACGTCACGCTCTGCGACAGCTTCGGCGCGGCGAACACAACACACATAAACTTTAAAAATTAATGTTTTACTTTCATATAATATAAGCCAATTATCTAATAAAGGAGGAAGGAGACGGCCGATCAAGAGAAAAAAATTGAATATATACCAGCGTATCCGACAATTTATTTAATATGTCACAAGTGGTGAAATGACATGTTCGCCGCCTAACACATTGTGTACCCACAAATTGGAAAAAATAAGCAGGAATACTGACATATATTTTTAAGCGTTTAGTCACTTCTGTGAAATAATTAATTAATGGTTATCTATATAATTCAATATGAATGTTTGTGTGTTTGCCCTTTATGCGTTCTAAAACCATTGACTTTATCGTAAAACTTTGGGAGTGTGCCCTGTAATAAACTTCTCGCAGACACCCGCGAGGAGTTTATTATTAATTTATACTGAATTTAATAAATCTATACAGTTAAATTGTTTCATTTCATCGATATATATATAATAGCGATTCTAGAGGCCTAGAAATACATGTATCAACAACAAACTCATCACAAAACCTTGATATAAAAACAAAACTGAACTGTATTGTAGGTGTCGTAGGTTAATCACAAATATGACAGATCGAGATTCGTCTAGGCAGATCATGTGCCAGCGATTAGGTGATTTAGCAGATTATCGCTAAAAAACCTATTTATTGATTTTGGGGGCAACTAAATAGTCACTTATATACATCGAGATCTGAAGGCCTAATATGAACTTTTAAAACAGGTCAATTTTAGAAGAAAATTTAACGTACGCCTAATTTTTTACCATAAACGCAGTGATCAGTGGGTCAGAATGACGGGCGTATGGTTGCAGAAATGAATATTTTATACATGAAGGTGTGAGAGGGTGAACCACCATCTTTGTTGTTGTTGTCTGTTGCCCCAAGTCAACCTCATAAATACACAGGCCGGTGACGGGCAGCAGCGTCACCGGTGCGACAAGCTACGCCCTGCGATCGCCAACCCGCCTGCCCAGCGTGGCGATTATGGGTAAATCTTTCCCTTGTAGACGCAGCAAAGGCCACGGCCCCATTTCCCGGCGGCCCCGCTATTCCTGGTCATGGTTACTGCGGGGCAGTGGGTGCGTAGAATCTCCGGGCTACGGGAGGCCACCACAACCGACTGACCCTGGCTACATACAACGGACGCACGTTACGGCTAGACTCGCATCTGGCACAACTTGAGGTGGAACTTGGAAAGATTAGGTAGCAGATCCTAGGTAGGTAGCAGATAGCGGATCCTATGTGAAGTCCGAAGAGAGGGGGAGGACACCATAACACTCGAGTCAAGCCACCTAATGTACTTTCGCGAGGGAGACCAACAATCCCAAGGTGGCGTTGGATTTCTGGTAAATAAGTCCCTTTCTGACAACGTTGTGGACTTTGGACTCCTGGGTTGCAAGCGTTCATGGGCGGCAGTAGTCACTTTCCATCAGTTGACTCGTCTGCTCCTCTGCCGCACGTTCCATTAAAAAATATGTATATTTATGTAATTAAGTATGTATATGTTAGTTTCATATGTTTTTGGATACAAAAAAATATCTGTTTAGATTTCTACACAACTCATAGGTTAGCTGGTAGAGAATATCCAAAGCAGTAATTGTAAGAATACTTTTTTGTTTACCGCTAAGACAATTACCCATTGGTAATTGAATGTAATATTAATGTTATTTTACCAAAAAAAGGAATGGTATATATATTTCATCTCACAGTCATTGATTCACCCCCGTCAGACCAAACACATAACCATAAAAATAACCCCCAACAGCGCACTTTATACGAGACAATTGACTATTCGGCACTATACCAGAGTGTGAAAAAGAAACCATCCATACATGAACAGCACAACTATGCACCTTTGGAGAGCTAAATATTGACACAAATAAAGCTACATAAAACGAACAAAAACAAAACTTACCACAAAAAGACTGGATCAACAAAAACATAATATTAGGTCCTTACATAGGAAATTGGTGTTTTGTACGGGTGGAATATGGTCATTTTTTTGTAAAATATATTTAATTAATCAAAGTATGCACCGTTGTTATCTATGCACTTTTGTCATTTCATAGGTAGTTCATTGATCCCTTTACTAGAAAAACCATGGGGGCGAGAATCGATAAACTCTTTGAAGGCGGTTTTGACTGCCTCATCGGAGTTAATTTTTTTTATTGTAAGAAGTTGTCCAAATTCCGGAAAAATGGTAAACTATTAGAGCAAAGTACGGTGGATGTCGCAGACATCCCAATTGTAGCTCATCTAACTTAGTGGTTGTTTGCTGTGCAGTGTGTGGTCTTGCGTTGTCGTGAAGCAGCAGTGGCCTAGAGCAATTGACCAATCTCGGTTGTTTAGCAGCTAGTTCTTCCTTCATGGTTTGCAGTTGCTGACAATAGATATCTGCGCATAATCGTTTGGCCAGATTTTAGAAAGCTGTAGTGAACGACACCGGCGCTCCACCAAACACTCACAAGTAACTTTTTCTGAGTCAATTTTCGTTTAGGGCATGATTTGAGTGGGTCTCCAGGGTTCAGCCATCGCAAGTACTTAGCCACTTTTCATCACAAGTAATGACTCGAATTAAAATCCATTCATTACTGTGTCGGTTGAGCAAAGTAACACAGCAGTCGACGCGTTTGCAAGTTCGATTCACTCAATTCATGAGGTACCCATCGTTCAAGTTTTTTTACTTTCCCGATTTGCTTTAAGTGGACTAATACAGTTTTGTCACGTTTGTCAGTTTTGTTACCGCTTCTACTATAGCCTTGAATTCTTCATTTTCCACTTTGGTCTCCGGCCGTCCACGGGGTTGGTTCTGAATGTCGAAATTTCCAGAACGAAAACGTTGAAACCAAAAACATACCGTGCTTTCTTTTGCTACACCAGCGCCGTACACATCATTAATCCTTCGAGCTGTTTCTGCAGCACTGGTGCCACGGTAGAACTTGTACTCGTAAATATCGATATTTCATGTTTTTTTACTGTGCGGTAATAAGCAATGCCAAGGAAAAAATAATGAGGAAAAAACAAATGAATGACTGTTTTTAAAACTCAAATGTACCAGCTAAATGAATTTATTAATTTGAATTTGGAATTCTTAACCAAAGAGGAGATATTTCAGATCAAAGTGGTCAGTACTACAAAACGCTAATTTCATATGTGAGGACCTAATAGATGGGATATATTAAAGGAATAAGTTATGGATACAACTTAAAAAGAAACCCAACAACGAGGAATTCGAACAACAATTTATCAAGGAAAGAAGTAATTTACATAAATTAATCAAACGCACAAAACAAGAGTATTATCATAATTATTTTCAAAAATGTAACAATGACTCTAAAAAGCTTTGCAAACTTATCAATACATTAGAAAACAATAAAATAAAATCAGATGCATGCATGCCCTATTTCATGCGGTATTCCGCAAGGCTCAGTAATTGGTCCATAGTTGTTTTTGGAACGAAGTTCCTTATCGCGCGTTGTGAAAGGGGGCTAGACGAAAAAAAATCTCACGAAAAGTTGTAACGACACTTTTTATTTTGAATTGTCACTTGTCAGTCATTCAGCGCCATCTATCGAAAAGACAGGAAATCATTACTTTTCATCTCAGTAAAATTAAAATTTATGTTTTTAGGTTGAGCAAAAAATATTGTATTCGACATCATTTCTCAAGGAGATTTTACCAATGTATAAATTGTTTTAATTAGAAACCAACTGAAAAATATGTAGGTAATAGCCGCTTTCATAGATGGCGTTGTAATTAAAACCGTGTCGAATCAGTTTTACTCGATCGTCACAACTTCGTTCCTATCGGTTGTCCCACGACACCACAAGGCTTTTTATTTTATGTTAATAATGTAAGCTTGATCAAGCTGACTGGCCAGATAACATCGTATGCACACGTGTCTTTTTTTTTGGAAAAAAAATATCTAGATTTGGACCTATACAGTACATAGTGTCACTGTAATCTACTAACGATAAATATTTTTAGTGCCAAATACAAAAAAAAAACAAACTAGCCAGCTTTATCGATTAATAACGAACTAATTCACAGATCCCACCAGGAAAAGTATCTCGGTCTAATTTTGGACGAGAAGTAAGCGTGGAAAACCCCACACAGAACAAATAAAAACCAAAATAACACAAATGAGTAGTGCATTGCGTAGAATATCTGCCTTTTATTTTATGTTAATAATGTAAGCTTGATCAAGCTGACTGGCCAGATAACATCGTATGCACACGTGTCTTTTTTTTGGAAAAAAAATATCTAGATTTGGACCTATACAGTACATAGTGTCACTGTAATCTACTAACGATAAATATTTTTAGTGCCAAATACAAAAAAAAAACAAACTAGCCAGCTTTATCGATTAATAACGAACTAATTCACAGATCCCACCAGGAAAAGTATCTCGGTCTAATTTTGGACGAGAAATAAGCGTGGAAAACCCCACACAGAACAAATAAAAACCAAAATAACACAAATGAGTAGTGCATTGCGTAGAATCTTTTTGTATACCACCTAAAACACAATCAATGCTATATAACGCGCTTATAAAACCCAAATTATGTTACATTATAGAGATCTGGGGGACTGCTGCAAAACAAAACTGATGCCTTGCAGCGCACACAAAATATAGCATTTAAAGTAATTTTCAACTACCACAGACTAACACACACACACACACACACAGTATATAAAACAACTAACATATTTAACCTTAACCAAATATATACCGAAAATATTACTCAATTGTGGCCCTCTGACACAGTTTACGTTTTATTATGGATTTAAATTTATTTATACGAAAACCTTGTATACTATTTAGGATTTTATTATAGAATCGAACACATTGACCTTGAAATGACTTGTTTATCTTTTTGAGCCTAGAGGCGGGTACTACAAGTTTATTTCTATATCTAGTATTTAAAGCATGAACATCACTTATTTTCAAGAAGCTATCTTTGTTTTTATGAACAATTATTACATTTGTATATATATGTAAAGAACAATAATATTGGTTCTTTAATTTGAATCTACCGCGTTTAAGATCGTCGGTAATGTAGTGCGTGTGAAGTGGATAAAACAGAGTAAGTTTAGAGGCTACGTTATGAAGTGTCAAATACAAAAAAGGATTAACAGAAAAGTGAATTGTAAAACGTAGATTAAAATATTGAGAGAAAATAATAAAATAGAATAGCTAGTGAAGAATAAACTTTAATGTCGTTTCTTTGTTTACAGAGCAACACAGTTTATATCAATAACCTAAATTGAAGAACCAATCTTATTTATATATTGACTTGTCACTGTCATTATGATTGTTTCTTTAAATTTCTGTTTCAATAAACAACGATTGCCTAAACTAAAAAATTGCTAGAATCGCTCTCTTTTGAATAATAGTTCGAATTTCGGCAGCATTTCTTCGCAGTAGAATACGTTAGACATTATGCTATGGAAATAACTCAAGTTAACTAGTATTAATATCATATCTGTATTAATATCATTCAATTTTCGATTTTTTCTAACTGCGTATGCTGCTAAGCTGAGCCTACTTGATAATTTATGTATATTTGGCCCCATTGTAGCTTAGAATATAATGTTATTAATAAAAATGTGGTTGTACCCACAAGGTTTAGCTCATTGGCCTTAATCATCGTAGTGGTTTTCACTGGCTTGACGTTTGGCGTGGTGAACCGTATGCACTTAGTCCTTTTTTTTTCAAAAGCAAATTGTTAACGTCAAGCCAATGAATGACGTTCGAAATTGCGCTGTTTACGGCTCTGAAATTAGTAAGTGTGCGTTTGAGTCTAAATAATAGGGACGCATCATCTTAGTCGGCTCTTACGACATGCACGGGATGAATAGGGGTGGTGACAATCTGTATTCTTAATCCGTCACCACACGTATAGTTAAGTGATTTATTAAGCAAAGTTATATATAATTGGTTAACGGCAAATGCAGTTGTTGATATTAAAAGAAAGCGCTTGATTTTAGCAATGAAACGAAATGTGTGAGGTTCATTTGTTTATTTTATAACAAATACAAATGTATATAGACACCAAGCTATATCAAAAGCATTATAAAATTGTTGGATTGAATTAGCATTCAAACATGTTTACTGTACATTAGCCAATATTTATAAAATGTATTTAAAATACGATCCTATATATATATTAGATAAAGACAACATTGGCACGCAACGTTTGGATAAAAGACATTATACAGAGTTAAATTTACAAATTAATTATTTAAGTAGGTTTGAAAGGTATTCCTAAACAGGCGTAAAGTCCCATCGACACAAAGGAAGGATCCTCCAATCACGTAATATTACAAGGCGAGTAAGACACGCGACATCGCGAGAAATTTCTATTGCGCGATGCAGAGTTACGAGCAGCAGTTATAACTTAGTTGAGCTGTTCATCATTAGGTATCACTAAAGTATGGTTTCGCTGGATATCTTCATACTTTCACAAGGTTCATATGTGAATTCAAGACTTGATTAAAGAGTATTAAACGTTGTAAGTATACCTGACATCGTTTACCATTTAATATTAATATTTTAAAATGACTCACAATAATGTGTTTTATTACAAAAACCTTAGTTCCATCATAGACACAACATATATGATTTCATGATATATTTAACGCTATGGTCAATAATGTTTAAAATATTTTAGTACTATATAAATGTAAGTTATGGCACAAACGTAACAATGCGACTGAACAGTCTTCACATAACACAGAACCAGTAGGACGGTAAAACTATATTATTGTTTGAAACACACCAATATACCACCACAAATCTTAAACAAAGTACCCAAGCGTAAAAGCTAGTGGCAGTTAACCATAACGATAATCGTTGGGGAAAACGAGTTCTTGAGTGGAGACCGCGTCTCGGCAAACGTAGTGTAGGACGCCATCAGGCCAGGTGGAGTGACGATTTGCGCAAGAAATCGATCTAAGTGGCGTGCAATGGGAGAGGCCTATGTCCAGTTTTATAAATAAAGATGTTAAATAAAATTGCTATACTACGCTAGTCGAGAGGCATTAAAGTAAGAAGAAGAATAAATATTGGCTAGTGGATGGCCCTGTTCCAGCAGCTTCTTCAATAACGACTTCTTTAGGACGGACAGATAAGTAAATAAAACCCTGGTTCCTTCTAACTACTGCAACCGTTCGGTACTCCTTATCAAAGATCCCTCGCTGTACCGTTTTCTTTACCATAACTCCCAAGGAGGATTGGCGTCAGGCAAAAGGCCAGCCTTAAAAGAAGCCAGCTAAAATCATTTGCAATGTATCATATTATACCGATACTAAATAGAATTGAGAGAAGGTCAGGATCGTTATGATTGTTTACAAGTATTTAGAAAAGGTAGACAAAACTTGAAGACTTAATATTATAGTTACTGAGGTAGTAAGTACTCGTTGGTAGTGTTTATATAAAAGCTTTATAGTTTTACAAAGAATCGTGATTTTGTTAAATACAAACTTTTTATTTTATATTTGTTTCAAATAGGAAAAGAACTATTGGTCATTTGCTTATAAAAACTTTTACGGTAGATAAGTATTGTATAATTCTCAGTGTGGCGACAAGTCACAACCGAAAGCGAACAAAATATTTCGTTACAATTTTGATAATGCTAAGAAAACACAGAACTCATTGTATCAAAACTGTAACAAAATATTATTCCCAGTTATTTTTGTGTACATACCGACGCGCAATGGCCAGCGCAACCTTGCCTCCTTCAGTGTCTTCTCTATATAAAGTTAAGTAACCTGGTAGTTTTTTACTTGAAAATATGTAAGTTCCTTCTACGAACTGCCCATAAGTACTCGTGCATGATTTCGACTGATGTCCCACGGGGAGAATTATATAATAATACAAAAACTTTCACATTGTGTAGATTCATGACTGCTAATGACTTAGTAAGACCAAGTACAAAATCTCTCATGGTCCGTTTTGATAAATACAGTCTCTGTTCTTAAGAGAAGATTAGAGTTGTTTTTTTAAACTTGATTAACGATCACAGCACTCTCACTTGAATTTAATCCTTTCATCATCACTTATTGAGCTGTTAGTGATGGAATCTGATCGACCGTTATCACCGGCGGTGCCTGTTTCAATAACACAGGGTCGTGAGGGACGGAAGGCACATCGGGAACTGTGGGTGCAGTAGTAGCTGAAGGCACCACAGATTCTGGTACTGCAGGTTCGGTCTGACTCCTCTCACCCGTGTCTGTGCGGATTGCAGCAGGTGATGTGGACGTTGGGTATATAGTACCACCCTTGCCTGGTTGGGGCACCTGACTGCATATCCTGGCCATTTCACTTGCACCCTCGCGAACCACTGGAACGTAAGGCACGATATTGTTAGATAACTCTTTAATCTCACTAAGTATTGCTGGTTACCCACTGCTGAGCCAGGCCGTGGTGGGTTCGATTGGAACACGGGATAAATGATGTGAGAAGAACATGAAGAATTATTCTGTGTGTGAATGGTGAATTATCTGTATATCTATGTATTTAGTAATATATAAGCATGTTTGTAAACAGTTTTTCAGTAAAAAGATTTGATACCATATTACTTAGTTTTTCCCCACCAGACGGCCGTGTGAGTAGTGTCTCAAGTTAATATAACATTAGAAACAAAAAGATTATAAGAATCAGGTCGAGACTATATTTGTGTCATGTTATAAAACAGGCATGAGGCCATAATGTTGCTTCATCAACATATAACTTCATTGAAACAAAATGAATAATATGTATTCATAATAATAATAATATATCTCACACACTCACACACGACCGACTGATCCCAAACTAGGCAGAGCCTGTACTATGGTAACCAGACCGCTGATAAACATACTTATATATTTCTAAATACATACATATTATAGATAAATTACACCCAGACACAGAACAAATGACCGTGCTCATCACACAATATTTGTCCTGGGTGGGAATCGAACCCACGACCTCCGGTTTAGCAGTCAGGATCACTAACCACTAGACCAACAGGCCCGTCATTCATGTTTATACAGTGCTACCAAACCTAAAGTAAGAGTTCACTCTGGGTTTTAGAACACGAATAAATGTATACATTATAATTTTTCTTGTAAACTACACAGAAATATTCACCACTGCAAATCTATTTATGTGTACAAAAGTTGCTGTAAAAAGTAGACTATGTTGGTAAAAGAATTTTTAAAATCGGTTGCGTGGTTTAGGCGTGAAAGCGTAACAAACAAACTTACTTCCACGTTTATAATATAAGTATGGATCACAGAAAAAGGAATAATATTATTTATTCTTTGTTCTGTGGTATGGATGTATTTGTACAGAGCGAGTATCGTGAGCTACGACGTAGCAGTCGCCGGCATTTTTGCTACGTCGTTAGTCTTGTGTTCCGTAATGAATTTTCACCCGCATTTTGGGAATAATTGCATTTAAAGAGGGCATCAAAATTAGGAAATGGTGTTTCCCATTAAACCTTACGATAAAACGGTGGCGGTTTGAACCGTACATAAGCTTTATCCACAACACCGTCATTTAGCTATCCTGAAGTCATAATTAAAATACTGCCAATTTGTGGCCATGTTAATAGTATTATTATGGAATTATGAAATGGTTGGATAATACCTGGTTGCACGGGGTAAGCAGGTGCGGTTGCTTGTGGTGGTCTGCAAGCAGGCGTAGCCGTCAGTGTCGGTGTGTCCAAGGAACTGAGTTCTGGAATTCAGACACAATCACCTGAATATAGCTGGTTGAAACAACTGCTTATACCTGATAGGGTCAATTAAAAGTATTTAAGTATTTAGTGACCTCACAAGAATGTATTGGACACTCTTAAAAGACATTGGGAGGTCGCCTAATTATTACAATAACCAAAACAAAAAAAAAAAAGTTGTTTTTAACGCTCATTAGACAATGGTTTACAAGTCTGTATTTCAACAACTTCACAACAAATTCACGGAAAGTACAGAATAAGCAGACATAGTGCCAGGTTAAAACTTCCTTACTTTTGACCTTCTTAATAAAGAAGTAGAAGAAGTAGAGAAGCAACAAGATCAGAAGACTGACGATGCCGACGAGGGCCACGTAGTAGGCCACGTGACTCGGACGGTTACGGGGCACACCTCCGCCCACACCGCCGCTACCTCTCACACCCATACTGAGGAGAACCAGCTCTGATCCTGGGGCTTGGGACTCTTGTCTGGAAAAATACGAGAATTTGGTTACATACGACATTTGTCATAAAGCTATCCAATAGTTTATTAACAACAAAAGTCAATTATTTAAAATCATTCATACCAGTTAAGGTAATTACAGGTAGTTTTAGGGTACACTCCAGTCAGTCACATATATAGTACGAATTTCAAAATACTGAATTTCGTAATTCCGAATGGTTCAAATTGCCTTCATCCTATTTTTATTATTCAAGAAATTCAATATATAACGTTTAATTACTATGCTCAAAATACCGAGTTTCAATACATCGAATAACCAAAAGTCCGACTTAATAATAATTCTAAACATCAAAAATTCGAATAAATTCGAATAAATGATTTTCTTTCGCTGGTCACAGTTCTTACCTAACTTAACACAAATAAGCAGCACGCTTGCTACGCTCGCTCGCCTTCGTGCTTTAATGGTCACAGTTCTAAAGTAACCCACAGAATTCAATAACAGTGTACTGGTACCCGACGAAGAAATATTTAAGGAGAAGAAGACACAAAAAATAATTAATACACAAATATTAATAACAAAGTAGATGTTTTTAATTACATTGAACGTTACTTATAGATTTTGGATATACATGCGTAACTGAATATTATGCTAACTGAATCAGAATCCTATTTTAGCAGTTTATTGAAAATCGGAATGTCGTTTTTCGTACCGAGAACCCATCGAGCATTTAATTCTTCGAAGGTATAAAAATGGAAAACCAACGAATCGCATTTATGACTTTCGGTAAAATAAATCTCGTGAATTTTAATAATAAACATTATAATTATTGGGTATTATGAAATTCATCCTTTTGAAAATCGGAACAAAATATTTGGGTATTTGGGTGTTCCCGTACTTTTATATATACAGGAGTATGTCAGCCGGAGTCAGTCAGAATAAGTGATTCGTGAAATTAGTTGCCCGTTACAAATAAAAATTTATTTTATTTTATTGAACCACATAAACCACTATTTGAGCTTTTTTGCACATTTAATTGTGCAAAAATTATGAGCACAATAAGCTGACAAAAATTTCAAAAGGTCATTCAACTTACCAACAGAAAATATATTTTCAGGAAATCCTCCAGTTAAATATTCACCTCACACCACAACATCTGTTAAAGATGTGTCCTCACTCTGACACTAAAATCAATGAAAAAGATTATAAAAATCCAAATGTTGAAGGCGCGTGAAGGGATCATGGCAGCGTGTCTTGTGACTGAACTCTCATACACAACCTACTTCTCTATTACAAAACACCGACGACACTGTGTGCTGTTTAATACAAGCTTGTGTGGGGATTACTGTGTTCGGTCGTGTAGTTGGAAATTGAGTGTGAAAACTACGAGGGAGGGACGAGACGAAGCAACAAGTTAAGGCGACACTCCGGCGCCTCACTCTCTTAACGTTTCTCTTAAGGATGGCATCGAGAAAGTTCTTAAATACAGAAGAAACAAGTTCAACGGCTGAAAATACTTTTTTTGTTATTTGTGTAGCCGTATATAACTTGAGCATATGAGGGCATTGTCAAGTTATTTAAGATTACATTGAACTTGGGTAGTAGTAATCGTCTGCGGTATTTCTGGCCCGATACGACCTTCAAACCTTCAAGAAAAAAGCGTACTCCTTCCTCAAAGGCCGACAACGCGCTTATGACTGCTGAGTTGCAGGCGTTCATGGGCGGCGATAGTCGCTTTCTATCTGGTGATCCCTCTGATCGTTTGCCCACTCTTCCATAAAAAAGACACCTACCAATTCACACTTACACGTCCTAATCCATCCATACTATATATATTTCCTACCCTTGCCTTCCCTTCTTAATTACCTTTATTTTCATTACAATCTTCATGTTGAAGGCAACAGGCTAGGTTATTACGTAAGTGGGACTAAAATAGTAGTCCAAAAAGCGTTAGCGTAGAGGTGGGCGGTTAACAAGCTTCTGTCTACCGCTTCGGAGATATCGTCAATTTGGATATGTTTTGTATGCTTAGAGTATATTTCTATAAGTGTTTTTTTTTTGTTGATAGTACTTAACTTCAAATTGTTGCAAACACAAATTGTGAACTTTAGGTTACGGTGCTATGGCCGGAAGATTGTAGGTGCCCCATTATCCTAATGTGTCCAGGGCCTCCAATAGGCAAAAGACGGCCCTGTACGTAATGTAATATTTAAGTAGTACGGATTGTTTTTTAAATAAAAATATACTAACAAGTAGATTAACCATTAGGCATAGGTTAATATTGAGTCATGATACGCTTTCGATTTATGTGCACTGATGTGTTATTGACGGTTTATTGAAAATTAAAAGAAACCTTAAGCACTATGTAGAAGAAGGCGGTGAAATTTAACGCGAGAGAAAGCTTTATTGGGTGTGTGCGCTGCATTTTTGCCTTGCCGATTTCGAAAGCGTCTTGGTATGCTAGTAAATATGGTACTAGGGAATTAAAATTATCTTATACATATACAAGGGATTTTTTATTTTAATAAACAGAAGGACATAAAGAGATCAAATGAGAATCTCACGTTGTTATAGGATAAGGAGGCAGCCCTAGGCGGGTCGTGTGCGGCGCCTGATTGTCGCCTCGTCCTTGCGCCTGCGTGCTCCGGATGGTGGTAATAGTCATCATCTTTAATCTTGTTGGTGGACAACTGCAGAGCCACCTTCCGACCTGAGGAAACACCATTTATTATAAAGGATTTCTTGTTTTTGTTTGTTCAAGATATGTTTGTTTGAAAACTTTTTATGTCTAAGGAAATATTTTTGTTATTTGAGGGGAGAAAATGAGTTCTTCAAACAACGCAACAACGAAAACATAGAAACATTCATTATATAATAAAAAAAATACTCCACAACCGCTTCGGATATAGTTATGTGCTTTTCCTTAAACATAATGAAATTCTTATGTCACATCTATATAATTGCCGTTATTTAAACAAAGATGATACGTATATATATATATATATATATATATATATATACGTATCATCTTTGTTTAATCGTTTAAGGAAAATCTATAACCGTAACAACGGCATTTGAAATCCGTATTTACTAATTTAGTTACCTACTATTATTTTGATACTCATAAAACACAATCAATTATATGTATCGATCAATTAAAGATTTCGTTAAAAACTTAATATCACATCGATTGTAACCTTTTTAAGGCATATGAATGCAATTAGCCCCCCATACCAATCCGTCTGGCCAGCGTGGTATAGCACTCTCTAGATTCTTATTAACTTGAGAATATGATATGGCATGGCGCTCTAAATCTAACCAAAAGTCAGTTATTCGGTTCTGAGTGCCATCATTATTTGAACGTCATTGTTTACATAAAGACAGCCCCCCAAAAACGGCATCGCCTCCTTTTTTTTTCTGTGCGGAAATCCCATCGGATACCACTTACCGGCGGAAATGTCGGACTCGAACCGACTAAAACCGCACGCCGTCTTAGGTACCAGCAGTCGGGGAACCAGGTGTACCCCAGAAAGGAAATCCCTGGTGCCCCGAGGTACCTCGGGCCATCTACGGCGGGTAGACGACCCCCTTGTGTAGGTACCCCCAAGTTCCCTCTGTGCTCCCGGAAGGGCGCGCGCGCTTCGCAGCTAACATGTCGTGGAAAGAACATCAAAGTAACAGTTTACCAAATTTCAGATCAATCGACGGATTTCAGTGAGATCCCTTCATCACCTAGGAAGTGAGGTGAAGATCTTCAAAATTTATAGCTGCTTAGCTGCTAGCTTATTTATAGATGTGATCGAGATGATTCTTATCTCGATGTTGTATCGTTTTTGACTTACTTCGAAATGTTAAACGGATTTTAAACGGAAACACACCTCTTTAATAGTAGGTGAGCAAATAATTTTGTAGAACAAATCCTGAAATGTGTAGTAAGATATATCCAAAGTTATATCAATGTAAAAGTGGCTCCTCAGTCTAAAACATCTCAATTGAGGAGCAACCTGGAACACGGAAAGTATTTAATGAATACTGTTGAAAATTTTGTATCATTTAGTAGTAGAACATACAATACTTTTAATGTGATTCCTTAATCTATATTTAAGAACGTGAATTGCCATGAAAGTAATAGGCCAAGATTTATATTCCATTCCAAAAACATTTAGTAGCAAGTGTGTTTGAATTTTTTGCATCAGGAGAAAGTAGTAAAAATGAATGAGTAAATAAACAGCATTTCATTTGGCTCCTCAATCCTGACGCTCTGCACAGAGCCGTAGCTAGATAACCAAAGGCCCTGGTGCGAAAGAAAACTAAGTGCCCAACTCTCATTTTCTCAATTTTGATTGGAATCCAAACGGTACTCTTTTTGAAAAAAAATTAAAGCTGTGATTCCTCATACCTAAGCTATAAAGCTATAATCTATATAAAAATAAAATAAACGATAACTCTCTGACCAGCAGTACTACCTTAAAGTCGTGTTACAACTTATTTTATTTACTTTCCAAAAGTGGGAGAATTTTTAGCTAATTCAATACGAGGTTTGCTGATGATCAACGTTGTATATATTCGGTATCTGAAAAATTAATTACTTTTTGATATTCCTTAGGCATTCGCTATTTAGTGTGACCATGTCAAAATGTTAAACCACAAGGACTAGTTTTTGCAATTTAATTTTCAACAAATCGACAATTATCGAAATATAGGAATGTACTGAAATTCTTCAGTTATTATAAGTATTTATTAATCAATTTGGACATAAGTTATACGATGAATTAATATTGGTTGGTAGGTGCTTTCACGAATTTTACATTGAGAATCATAGTCGTCGTAACAAAACATCTCATCCTTTGTTGGGTAGTGACATGTACTAAATAATAATATTAATTTCATTCAGAAATGAAAAGGGGCTCCTCAATCCAAACGACATGAATTAAGGTAGAAATAGTAGATTTGCAGGGACTAAATCAATAGCTGCTCTGGGATCTTAAGGGGGAAGAGATAGGGATTCAGGGAACTATGTAGACTCTTTTTGTTAAGAGGAACGATTTGGGTATGTTTGCCATCTCTAAACGCGTTATTGATAATGGAGAAATCAAGAGTGACAGGAAGGATTTTGTTCTTGACGGATAGCATCATAGTACGGCTGATTAAATAGGTCCCAAGTACTATCGAAGTGATCAACACTTTGTAGTAAGCTCTTAAGGACGTAAGTAATACTTACTTACTGTCCGATTAAGAATATAGAGTGTCACCAGCCCTATTTATCCCGTGGGTGTCGTAAGAGCGGACTAAAACACACAGGACAACAGAAAATTTGACACTAACCCTAACCAACCCGCCTGGCCTACGTGGTATAGTAGGCCAAAACCTCTTATCTAAGCCTGTGTCCAGCAGTGGACTATTAAAGGCTGTTGACGTGATGATGATGTGGTATAAAATTTACTTGTTGATTAAAAGTGGAACAGTTTTAACACTTCGCAGAAAAATCAAAACCTACAGGGTCTTCCCATCGAACTAGTCTCATGATAATTGATTAGATGGTCTGCGCCCACGCTGTCGTAAAGGTTTTGTTTTACGTTTGGAAACCCCCTCGGGCTGGCCCAACCAAAGTGAGAGCGTAAGGGATTCTTCTGCTTAGATTTGTAAAGAAGTGATGACCGCTAAGGAGGCATATAGAATGGGAGAGGGCCGGTACTCTCCCGTTTCGAACAAGTTCCAGCAGGCGATGGAACGATGGATTAAAGGAATGTAAATGAAACGTGGGACTGGCTGTAACGGTATAAGCTGCCCGTACTCTCCTAAAACATTGCGATTAGTTACGCGCTCGCCTAAACGAACTCCACTTTATTAAACAAAAATTAATCTCATTTAAGTCACTACCTACTTTACACTAAATACACATACCTTACACTAAAACACTTTTTACACATTAAACGGACTTCAAAAAACGTTCTTGTAGAGTACTTATAAAATATACAATAACTGATTTTAAAACAATTGTGACACTCAATTTAATAGGTACCATTGTAAATGCAATAGGTCTGTTTAATATGCGTGCCTCTGTCGATGTCGAGCCCGAAACAAAATGAGTGTCGGATATAAATAATACTTGGATATACCTAATGCGTAATCTGATAAGGCGAGGAAAGGCAGTAACGTTCGCGTGGCAGTAACATGACTAGTTTACATGCTTGCATTCTATCATAGTGTTCATGTCTTATCCTTTAATATTTTTTGTGTAGGGCTTAATCAAGGTGGGCCCAAGTAACCCAAGAAGTAACCAAAGAATATTTTTAGCTTATTTTTTTTACTCGTTAAGTCGAGCAAAATGCAGCTGTCGAGCAGCTGTTTCTGGAAATTATTCAGGACATTTTCAAAATCCCTGTGCTGACCCTCGTTGCGCATAGAACTAGAATCCTGAAAGGACAATGGCAGGCATGTGTGAGTCTTTTGTACCGCCTTGCGTATCTCATGGTAGGGATTACTGTTGTATTTATTTGGCTGGTAATATCATCGACAATTACAGTTTTAAGTATCAGACTTTTAGAACTAGGCATTCTAAAGTTATTTCAGTTTGTAGTTTGCATAATCATACGACGCTGTACTGAAGTCGATACCAGTAACAGTACCAGCTGGCTCTTGGCTGTCACAAATAAGTTGTCATTGCTGTCAACAAGTTAACCAAAATATCTTTCAAAATCATTCGTTTACGATTGTCTTGATCCATCAATAAAATGTTGCCAGGTCAAAACAGTCAAATCAGCAAACCAACTTTCTTACATAATGTTCCCGATTAATATAATTGTAATAATACCTAACCTTAAATTAATTGATTTAAAATAATCATTCCTTTGAAATCCTTTATCCCAATTCTGATGTTGGATTTCAGAAGCGGACGAAGTTAAAATAAGATTAAACATTACAAACCAAGCTTCTTCTTCTTTCTTTGGGCTCGCCTTCTCCCACTACTCGGGGTCAGCTTTTCCAATCATGCGACGCCACGTGGTCCGTCGCTGTGCGTCCTCTTACCTCAGACCCAGTTCCTTCATGTCCCTCTGGCCAATCATCATCCAGGTGGTCTGAGGTCTTCCTCTCCCCCTCTTTATAGTAGCCACAGAAAGGCACTTCCTCACGACATGATCCTCGGTTCTACGCATTACGTGACCGTACCATCTCAGCCTGGACTCGCTCAGTTTGTCCGTTACCTTTGCTTTAACTTTAAAGGCCGGAGAGAAAACTCCGTAAACAAACCCGATCTTGGAGCTTCTTCGACATATTCGATGCAGAGGTCCGCGGTTTCGATAAGCGCTTAGGTCAGAGCGACCATGATGGTGGCGGCGGAAGAGCCCGGCGGCACTGAAATCTTCCAGGAAGATTACGACCTTGGTGTCAGGAGGCGACCGACCGTAAAATTCACAAGACAAATCATCATTCCAATCATTACAAACCAATCTTATCTAATTAATTTAAAAGAATTACACAATTATATGTATTCTTAAGTATATATTCTATATTCTTAAGTAAAAATGTGGTGTGGCTAGTATGTTTTTTATTATTATTATTTTTTCTATTTTTTATGTTTCACTGCATTTTCTCTTGTATTCGTTTTTTCTTCTTAATCTTGTTTTCTCTTCGTTGCTTTTTCACCTTTAAGTCCTTAATAACGGACATACTAGCACACATCAAAACAATGTTGTGATATATTTAATAGTGCCATTGTATCTACTTGTGAATTGCAAAAGAGTGGCCATGAGTTTGTTTGCCCTTTCTTCTCATAAGGCTCAACCCCTTGGAAACGGGCGGTTGTAGATCGGCACAGGCATATCATAGATTTTGTATGGGTTTGATTTTTGTTAAATTTATTTGGTTACTATTTGACAAAACAGAGATTGTTGCTTTTGTGTGTGTTGATCTATGACTTTAGAGTCTACATGGAAGACGATTTCAAACAATTTTGGAAATTTTATGAAATAAAGAAAGTTTGAGTTGAGTTGAGTTGAGTATTAGGAAAACACAATAATTTATGAAACTAACAATCGTCTATTTCTTCTTTATTAGTTATTATTATTATTACTTCGTATTCGTACCCACAATATAACACTAAATTATAGGTCTCACTATCCTAAGGCGATGCTGCTTAGACGAACGGCGAGCGATGAAAAGGGGGCGACACAGCGACAGCGCTGGTCTTCACACCGTCCCGCAGAGGACGTGTGAAGGCTGGATCGGGGCTGTATGCCCCCTGCCAGCGGCTTTTTTCGCTACCCCTAAACACGGGTAGGTCATCGGATGTCCTTTTTCGGTGTTGGTTGTTTCGTGGGGGACCGTTTCGGTCTTCACGCCACCTCGGCTATTAAGCCCAAGCCAGATGCGACTTCAGGTGACACCTGGGGAGGCTCAGCTCCGAGCGACTAGCGACAGAGGGGCGACAGAGGCTCCCCACAGAGCTCGCGTCGTGATAAGTTGTTTCCTCTCACGCTCGACGCTGGGGCGCTTACGTTGCATGGTATGTTTCCAGGGCATGGCCGGCGCTCGGAGGAACACGCGGCCTGCCCCCGGCTAGCCGGTGGATTATCGCTCTGCAGGAGCCAGGCGATGCAGAGGTTTCGAAGGTGCAAACAATCACAACAACGCTGTAAACCAACGTTGGGCTGTGGTCAACCCACAATTATATTAGCACTGTTGTGCTTATTTGCCACCGCATCGATGGGCGCACGTCACTGCGAACACTCGGCCGTTCCGTGTATTAGTAACGATCTCAGAGGCCTTCGGAAATCCTCGTAAATCGGAATCGGAAGTGATGTTGCTTGGTAGACGTGCGGGCGAATCCTCCAAGGGGCGACCTCCTTTTATAGGCGTACTCCTCACAATACTTATATTTTTTTATAGGTATACATTCATATTATAGATGAATTACAACCAATTATACAATAGTCTACAAATTTATTTTCATAACTTAATATGCAGTTCTGTTCTGCAGTTTTTTTTAACCTTACACATCTCTTACAGGGCCCATCGGATCCCAAACTAGGCAGAGCCTATGCTATGGTAACCAGACTGCTGCTAAATATATATTTATAAATACATACTTACATATTATAAAGAGTGTCTCAGGAAGAGTGCACTTTTTAAATTTAGATTATATTTTTATTTTTTTCGTGCATGTGGCAACTATGTAATTTGATCCTAATCCTGATTATTAAAAATGGAGCGCTATAACGCGTAATAATTGGGAAAACTCATTACAAAAATGAGGAAAGTTACGCTGAAACCGCTCGGCAACTTCGCCAAATTTTCAGTTGAGAAAATGCGCCTTATGAATTTTGACAAAAGACCTTCATGCGTACAAGATTCAGCTAACTCAGGAGCTCAAAGCAGCAGACCACGGAGAGCACCGGTAAATTTGTTCAATCGGTGGGTTCAATGGGTCATAGTGAAGTCGATGCCAATTTTTCGAAAAAAGTCATCTTCTCCGATGAACCGCATTTCCATCTGAATGGCTACGTCAATACATAAAATTGTCGAATTTGGGACTCAGAAAATCCTCATGCAATCCATGAGAAACAAATGCACCCACAACGAGCAACTGTCTGGTCAAGCGGGCTGATTGGGCCTTAATTTTTTGACGATGAGGCTGAAATTGCAGTGACTGTGAACGGCATTCGTTACAGGAATATGGAAATGGAATTCTTGTGGCCTCAACTGGACGGCGTGGATCTGGTCAACATGCGGTTTCAAGAGGACAGCTCCACCTGACATACCGCGCATGAAACAATCGACTTATTGCAGCAACGATGTCAAGAACACATTATCTCACGAAATTCTAATGTCAACTGGCCACCAAGATCGTGCGATTTTTTTCTTTGGGGTTTTGTGAAATCTCGGGTTTATGCGAATAAACTAGAAACAATTCCTGAGCTCAAATTAGAGATCCAACGCGTCATCGGTGAGATACAGCCACATCTCTGTGTAAAAGTCATGGAAAATTTCATGAAAAGAGTAATGGCCTGTGATCTGAGCCGTGGGGACCATTTGCCGGATATTTTATTCCATACTTAATCGGAACATGTCTTCTTTACAATCCAATAACAATATCACAACTCTTTCACAAAATACGTGTTTTTATTTTAAAAATAAAAAGCGCACTCTTACTGAGACACCCTTTAGATAAATAACACCCAGTCACAGAACAAATTTACTTACTCATCAGACAATGTTTGTCCTGGGTGGGAATCGAATCCCCGACCTTGGGTTTAGCAGTCATGGTCACTAACCACTAAGTAAACCAACGGGCCCGTCAAATCGCGCAATATCGCGAAACTAATCACACTAATATTAGCAAGGCGAAAGTTTGTGTGTGTCTGTCTGTTACTTCTTCACGCTCAAACTCAAATTTTGATTTAAAAAATATATAAAGGTAGCTAATGCCGTTTATTAACACATTTTTATCGTGAGATGACCAAGCAAATGAAATATGTTTGGTCCTCTTTCAAACGGTGGGTAACACTGCGGGGCACATCTTGTTATATATGAACCACGCTCACGATCGTACGGCGACATATACATACATACTTCATAAATGTGTGACATATACATATACATATATATATATATGATCGTCAGCGAGCCGCAGAGACCACGGCAGCTTATCTGTTTTTAGTTTTATTTGACGCGAGAGGCGAGCGTGTCGCGGAGAGTGACGGTGCTGTGGCCATCCCCAGATAGTTCGTATTCGTGCAGCAGTGCTTTGAGAGTGCAACCGAGATGTCGTACGACCCTTGGACAGTCTATAAGGTACTTTTGTCATATTTTTTATCATAAAAAAGAATTCGTTTCTAACTGTTGATGTTTAAAACAGGCGTTGAATCAAGCATACAAAAAAAACATAATATTACAAAAAAAAAAAACTTATTCTGTGTGGTTTGTGTAGTGTTAAGGTTTTAAACAAAAAATGTCAGTCTGCTTCAGACGGAATACAAGATGTTAATGAGTGTTTGAACCGTCAGAACAGAAGCGAAAAATATTTGACAAAGAAGAAGATCAAAATGTTAAACTTACTGGCTAATATTATAACCGATTAGTAGTTTCTTCATGTAGTTTCTTGTGTGTAGGTCGTAGTGTGGCTGATGATAATCCTCAGGCACCGACAAGGGCCATGAGCGGTCCACTACTAAAATACTACCATATAGGTAATGGGGAATGGATGCATGGGCGTACCGAACAGAGATGTTGCGATTTTTTTAACCTACACAACTTTTGTCTCTTCCTCCTTGGGTAAATACAACAATATTTCACAAGTAACAGACCAGTGGGCAATAAGTTACGGTGTACTACACTGACTAGTAAAATTAGTTCAATGCCAGTGGGCCACTAGTGTTGTATTAGTCAAAAACCGGCGTCTAGTTGACAAGGAGAAACGTAAAACCATCTATTTAATCAGATCAGCAGATCTAGTTTGGGTTCAGACGGCCGTGTGCAAAATTATATAGTTATTATTATGAATGATAAATCACGAAAAACTTAAAACAATACATGATAATATTGTAATCTATCTTTCGGGGTACATCTGAATAAAATACGAATAAATATATTTTTATACCTTTTTTTTAACACTGCACAGAAACATTCAGACTTATTTATGTGTACAAATTGTCATATACACTTATATGTAAACTAGCTTTTGCAGGCGGCTCCGCCCGCGTTTATGTCAGCTATCGCCGTAAAAGGTCCTATGTTACTCGTTGATAATGTAGCTTTCCATTGGTGAACGAATTTTTATTATCAGTTTAGTGGTTTAGGCGTGAAAGCGTTACAAACAAACAAACCAACTCACATTATATTATCTGCCCATAAGTGCACCTACCTCAGCACATTCCTTCTCAGCATCGCCCAATCGGTCGACTGGCAAAGAATGCCTTAGGCATAAGGTCCGACGATGCATATATTTGTGCTAAAAGTTATAAAATAAATAAATTATTCTAAACTATAAATCGTTCCGACGTCATTCAACATATTTGAAGCTAGAGAAATAAAGATGTCTAAGAACAAACTAAGTAACGATTACACAACTTTTTTGCTATTATTATAGTTGTTAATGTTCGGTTACCGATTGGGGCTTCCACTTGCCGTCTGCTGCACCACCGCTGCCTCGTGGCTCCTACGCCCTACGCACTAGTCCATTATTAAACTCTTACGATATCACCAACTACGCCGACGAATAGCTTAGAAGACTTTAGACTCGCCAACCTCACGAGAAATCGATATTATTATTTTTTAATATTGTGTTTTGTGCTACAGGATCGGAATGACCCGTCGTCGATCGACTACAACAAGCTATCGAACATGTTTCAAAATGGACGTTCAGGGTACTCGGTCAGCGTCTCCACTTCCAGTACCACAACAAGTTATTTCCCTGTGTTCCTGGTTGTGGGATTGGTGGTGGGTTGTGGGGTCCTCTTCTGCCTCATAGTCCTTTGTTGCATATGTTTTCGCCGTAAAACCCCCGGCAGGATCCTTGTAGGTACGTTTATTTACTCTAAATATAATTTTTGCAGTGCAATAGTCAGTTTACTAGTATAGACTAGAAAAAGAATGGAAAAAGAGGCTATTTTGAGGCTTCAGTCGTAAAAGAAAGAAAAGCGTCAAAAGAAAGACGTCAGACAGAAAAGCAAGTATTGTACCAAGACCGTAGGCTTGGTAGGTACAATACTTGCTTTTCTGTCTACAAGAGAGAAAGCCTTCTTAAACACAAAGTATTTTACTACTTTTTTTTTCTTTAATTGAAACTACGTGTATGCAAAATGTCACGAGAATTTCAAGCGCAACAAGCAAACTGACTTTCGCATTTGTAATATTAACCTGCGTGAAACCCAAATGATATAGCACAAGAGATATACAACGGTGCAATGGTACTGAAGCTTAGATGATGGTATGAGAGTAACTATTGTGTTGTTCTCTAGCGCCCCCCGCGGTGACGACTCAGACGACGGCGCCGTACCTCCAGGAGCAGACCAATCCTTGCTACAACAGTGAGTGTCTATTTCGTCTACCACTAATTTATATACGTCCCTACAATAGATTTAAATTATCTATATTAATATATTCTTTGATTGTTTGTTTAAATCTGTGTAACTATTAATTAGATAACAATTATTAATGTTGTGGGTTCAATTGGAATTTATAAGATGCCTTACATATAATATGTTTATTGTCATTACCAGCCTTTTAGGGTTTTAGCCCATCTAGACTAATATTGGTCAAGAAGTGGTTCATCAAATGCACAAAGAAATTTTACCAAAATAAAAACTATAAAATATTTTTGTGACTGTCCTGCGAGTGTACTGGCTAGTGATCCTGATTGTTGAAGTAAAGGTCGTGGGTTCGATTCCCACCCAAGACAAATAATTGTGTGATGAGCACAATCGTTTGTTCTGTATCTGGATATAATTTATCTATCACATGTGCGTATTATGCTGGATTCCATACCCCTATTTCGGGAGGTGTTTGAATTTGCAATATATAAGCATGTTTATCCGTATTCCATGTGGTGATGGATTAAGAATACGGAGTGTCACCACCCCTGTTCATCCCGTGGCTGTCGTAAGAGCCGACTAAAGACAACAGCAGTGCCAACCCGTCTGGCCAGCGTGGTATTGCAGGCACCTCCTTTCTAGGGACAGGCTTACTAAAGGCTGTTGATGATGATGAACAAGCATGTTTATCAGCAGTCTGTTTGTCACGGCCGTGTGTGAGGTGTGTGAAGCATTATCATATCGATGCATACAGAAAGAAGGACGACAGTCCAGCTCCCACCGTTGGTTGGGCGCAGCACAAATGCGCTGTATTGAGCAGAAGGTAAACTTTAAATGTATCGCACAGTGCCTCCTGCCGGAGGAGCAGCTCTCTACCCCATGGTGCCTACTTCAAGTCCGAGCACGTACGCGTCCGAACAAACCACGGCACAGTACAAGGCAGAAATTGGCGCCTCAGGTACCTATCCAAGCGTGTGACCAAACTAATGATGAAGTTAAAAAATCGTTGGTGTTTTGAAACTTCACCATTATAACGATTAGAGATTTAGGTACCGGAATGTACCCGCGATAATATAATTGCGTTAATTTGTTGTTTTCGTATAATTTAGTGCATGGATGGCGTAGTGGTTGAAGCGGTCACCTCGCCGCTTCCTGCTGCACCGAGTGTTGTGGGTTCGATCCCTACATAGGACAACACTTTGTGTGATGAGAAAATTGTTGAGTGGGTGTTCTTTGTGTCCGTTTCATGCATGTAAAGTTCCCCGCGACATCGGATATTTTCCTACTGCGGGAGTTGCCTTTTATAAAAGAAAGAAAGATCAATTATTGTAGTATACTAGGGTAAAATATATTTTTGATTCCACGAGGTCATGAGGAGTCACCACGGTGGACAGTTCACTCATGAGCACGATTATCATGAGCATGATTTTCCCATATACACATCTGTTTCTTAGATACCGAAATCATTTTAAGACAATATCATAAGAATGTAACGACACCACTTAAATGTAAGCTTTCAGTACAAATATGGGTAGTCGGACTCACCTAAACCATGTGTCTGAAACATCGAGACACGTGTTTTCAAGCTTTTTTTTATAATTAGTTACTAAGTATATTCACATGTTTGTAAAAGAAAACGTTGTGCACACCGAGAGCTCCAAACAATCATTTTTTTTTAAATATCGATAACACCTTCGCAACAGTCAATTTTAGAAAACAGCAAAATATGCATTTATAATCCCAAATAAAATGTGTAATATAAAAAGACACAATAGATAAAATGGTTGGTGGCATTATTCCCCAGTTAAGTATCTCAATAGGTTTTCATTGTGTTGCAAAATTTAAATATGTGTAGCCAACTTGAGTGTCCATGGGAGACGGTAGCCACTTACCATCACGTGACCTGGTTGCTCGTTTGTCGCACTGTAATTCCCCATCGAATCAAAGTGTAGCTTGTTTCAACTGCACTTTTTCCTAGATAGTGTATTGAATAAGACTCTGCCTAGTTTCGGATCAGACGGCCAAGTGTGAGTTGTTTAAAAATATTATTATTATTATTTATCTTGTAAAAATTTTCTGTTCTCCCTTTTAATTTAAAGGGGTAACAAAATGTAACGCACGGGCCTAAGCCAAGTGTGCCAGACAGGGATGATGTAAAATTAAGATAAAGATATTCTATGCTAAAAATAATTGTAAAAATAGATTTATAATGTGCAGAGTTGTATTAAATACAACCGACATGTTCGTTATCAGCGGCAAGGCCCGGACGTCGACGCAGATTGTATGAATGAGTCCTGTCGGAATACAACGAATGGGTTGTGGCCCTGCTAGCTACTCCTACTCCTACCTGGTGTAAACAATGCAGATAACGGTACGGTACGGTAATTCACAGACATTCCCTAATTCTCTGAAGAACGCAGTATATAACAACGTGACACGCCGCAACTCGGCGGCTATTAGTAGCCAATGTGTGGGCGAGCTTCTTATAATGGATTGCCGTATAATAAGAATTCCCCAATGGCGCTGTCGTCACGAAATTCCGTGTCAATTGGGAACTTTACATTAATGTCAAATGTTTCGATATTCGGACACTCCAAAAAAGTATAAAGCCAGGTGTCTGGCTAACCGTGGTCTTCTGAAAAATCTCCTAAATAACTTTAACATTTGGAACATGGGCGTACTGGTATTATTTCTGCAATGTTTAACAAATAGCGACTAAGTGGTATAAAACAGGTTTGTTCATGTTTCAGGGTATCCACCGGCCTACGAGACGGACCGAATGCTGCACGTCGATAGCAAGCCGCCCCTCCACTAAAGCTTTATGTCTCGTGGCTCGCAGACACCTTGAAACTCCTCTATAATAGATATACCACCGTTAATCTATATGATACCACTTAATTGTAAGTCGATCTTAAGAAATTTCAAATTATAAAAAACGTTTACGTCTATTGTCTGTTATTGAGTCGCCATTCCCGTCATACTCTGCTGCTCTCCTTAAGTCAGTAGCGTGGTGTCCCATAGCCTATAACTTTCCCCAATAAATTACCCAAATCTGACTGTGACAGAGTTATACAGACATACATATTCCCTATGACTGGCGGGTCAAAACTAACAAATAACCGAAAATAAAACTATCGATAAAAAGCTCCACAACTTTATTTTTATTTGTATTAACAATCCAGCGAGTTGTTTTAGAAAATATGCTATTCTTAGACGAATTAAACATTTTTGGTCTCATACTTTAGCCATTTGGGCAAGTTAACGACAACAAACAATAATTACATACTTCAGATCTCATTTTAAACTCATATTTAGATTATGATAAAGCAAAAATTAATCTGTTCACACTTAACGACACTATCGCAAACACACACACATCACATTTTGAAGTGTTACAAATAATGATTCACTTATGCCACTTAAGTTCAAACAACTGTAGACCCTCTCCACTTAGGAATAGAGATCAATAGGTATTGATTGTCGGCTTACATTATAGTTTAGAGTGGGTGACGTTTCCAAGAATGTTTTGCTCTAATATTTGATATTTATAATGTTGACTCGAGTGTTTTGGGTCTTGTTTATACACGTAACAGTTCTTTGCGTTACTCGTACAGACGAATTTCTGCTTATACATATATACGACGGGCCTGTTGGTCTAGTGGTTAGTGATCCTGACTGCTGAGCCGGAGAGCGTGGGTTCGATTCCCACCCAGGACAAATATTGTGTGATAAGCACGGTCATTTTTTCTGTGTCTGGGTGTAATTTATCTATAGTATGTATGTATTTAAATATATGTAAGTATGTTTCTCAGCAGTCTGGTTACCATAGTACAGGCTCTGCCTAGTTTGCGATCAGACGGCCTTGTGGGTCGTGTGATGTATTATTATTATTATTTGAACATACATAACTAGGTTTCATGTTAATATTTATTGAGCTATAATCTACTATACGCCAGCAGTTTTAATTCAATGCTAATATTGAAATGTGAGATACATACATACAAACCCTAAAGATATAAACTCTACTTTTCAATACGCTTTTATTGACTTCACTTGTAAGAAACGGATAAAGAATACGGATTGTCTCTACCCCTGATCATCTTGTGGGTGTCGTAAGAGCCAACTAAGAAAGCAAATTACACAGGACAACACTACTACAAAGAAAAGGAAAACTTAAAACAAACCTTATACCAACCCGTCTGGCCAGCGTGGTATAGTAGGCCAAAACCTCCTTTCTAAGGAGAGGCCTATGTCCAACAGTGGAATATTACTATGACTTTCCGCCATCGTTCAACACGGCAAAATTTTCATCCTCATCACCTGGATAGTTGGCGCTCCACTACTGTGCGCTTTTCGAGTCACTTTTTGCCCCGCACAACCAATCTGTGGAACGCGTTATCGTCCGGTATTTCCGGACCGATACGACCTTCAAGAAAAAAACGTACTCCTTCCTAAAAGGCCGGCAACGGGTTTGTGACTTCTGAGTTGGAGACGTTCATGGGCGGCGATGGTCACTTTCCAGCAGGTGACCCGTCAGCTCGTCTGCCCCCTCTGATATAAAAAAAAGGCTGTTGATGTGATGATGATGATGAACATAGTAATTAATAGTCGGGCAGAAATTACTATTTCATCATTACAAATATATATTTATTTAAAATAATATGTCCAAATAAATAAAACAACAAAAAAAATATTTCAACGTGCTCATTCATATGAGCAAAGAACACATTTTAGAATATAAAACTCAATGTTTTGTTCAAACATTGTGCCACGCCGCGTCCATCTGGCTACCACATGGCCACTGTTCTAAGGTCACAAATATAAAAAAGTACATTATGTGCTATACTGCTAGAAAAAATGTTCTCGAGAGTCAAACAGGGACAAGGTCCAGACAATATTCATCCGTTAAAGTAATACTTACATACACACAAACTCGCACCCGGTCAGCGAAGGAGTAGGCAGAGGCGTATAGGATGCCTTGGCCATTTAAATGTTAGCAAATCTACAGCCGTCAACATGGCAACTTTGGTCCTCAGAGCCTCTTTCTCAAACTAGCTTGGAGTCCACTTTAGGTGTACTATGATAGCACCAGAGACTTCCTTTCTAGGGTATACCTGGTTCCCCGGCTATTAGTACCCGAGACGGCGTGCGGTTTTAGTCGGTTCGAGTCCGACATGCCACCGACAAGTGGTATCCGAGGGGATTTCCGCACGAAAAAAAAAAGGTGTACTACAATACGGATGAACTTTGGTTCTTTACGTGGAGCGACGCCCACCAGACCTCGTCAAACCAAGTACTAGACGACATCGAAGTTCTGTAGAAAGTTGTGGGACTTTTTAGGGCACTAACTACCCGTACCGATTACCAAAGATGTTCGTATGACAACCGGGACCAACGGTTTAACGTGCTCTTCGAGGCACAGAGGGGTCTCAAGTGTTAATAATAGTCACCCATAGACTGACACTGATATATGTACTGATAATGTGTTAACCTACTCGGTGACCACTGAGCTACGAGCCCCTCCCTAGCCACGAGAACGTAGTTATTAGATATAAAAGTTGAAAATACACAGACAGGATATGTTTTCTATTTTGAAAGGAAAAACAATGATAGGAAACAAAGGGAGATCAAAAGGAAATGCTGCTCGTGCAGGCCAGGATATACCTGTATTTCTAATCCGCTTTCCTCGGCAAGTCTAAGTACCCAACCGATACTATTTGTTTGTCAGTTGACTGCATTCATATCTTCTCGGAGACATTAAATAAATATCTCAATAATAAAACGAATATGTTATCCAAACAAACACATAAATTTAGTTAGTATAACAGAGGGAGCGAACTGTATATTCCTCTATAAGTGATAGCGTACAGCTGTTATACAGAGAAAGAATATTGTTTTGGTCTTGTATCTCTCTCTTCTCTCTGCAGTGATTGGCTGATATTCAGTATCTTTTTTGAAATAGCGAATCAGTGAGAGAGAGAGATGCAAGACCAAAACAATCTTTTTTCTCTCTTTACCAAGCGTCTGCGATAGCGCCTTGCTCGATTCCGCTATATTTATAAGCTCTGTGGGGCTCGCTTCTATGAATTAACAATTAGGTACAACAAACAACTCGATGACAATACAGCGGAGTTCCCCTGCACATATGGCGGTGTTGCTAGTGTTCACTTTTATAATAAATACCCTAAGTCCTATTATCGTACAACACTTGGCAACACTTGCCATCGTGTTACGTACAAGTATGTAAATGTATACCTACCTATAGGTAGGTCAAGGTAGGTATATCAATAACAAAATACGTTCTAACATCTTTAGTTTCTGCCCTTTTAATGATTCTGTTTTTCTACGACTTGGTACCCTAATAACATAATACAATTTTATCCAAGTTTCTTCTTGCATTTTTCTAACGGAGTATTAAAAACAATCAACTAAATGAAGAAACCTTTAGCTTAGTTAGTTTGTCATTATTTTCCCTATGTTGTGTAGTACACCGTGTAGGTATTATTTGATCGCACGCGGTGAGTCGCGTATTTCTTAAATGTACAACAGTTGAATTTGACAATAGGGAATATGCATGTATTTTTTTTTTTAACGATTCTACTAGTTATTACATTACCAGAAATAAATATAACACATCCGAAATATAAACCGTTAAGCAAAAAAAATTTATTGAAATCACTATCATTTTGTTCACAAAGTTTCTAAAAGTTCAAAAAGTGAGTGATAGAAATTAACTTATTACCATGTAAAGCCAATAAAAACTTATTATAATAATATTGTGCCGTTCCTTTGTGCCCAAATAATATCAAAGCTGCACCTGACAAAGTATATTCAGTCATTGTTTTGAGTCTTTCTACACGGGAATTTAATATTAACTTAAAATGAAACAAATAATCACCAGAAACCAAATATTACAAATACACACAACTTGTTGACACTCTTGACAGTGTAGGTTGACGTCACGTTTTATTCAACCAATAGCGTTGCGTTTTAGAAATTTGCGAGGGAATCTTAAAAAAGCCAATTTTTGATGATTAAATTTCACTATTAAATCATAATAAATTTCAAAAATAATTGTATGGGTATCTTTTTTTAGCAATAAAAATTACAAATAAAAATATTTTGTCCATTTTGGTGTCACGTGCATATTCCCTATTTAGGGTGATGGGTGACGCTTGCTACTGTTGGAAAACAGTCTTTGACAGCAGCAGGTGCAGCTTCTAAGGAAGTAACCTGATTTCATAAATAGTTATCATACATAAGTACGAGCATATCAAATATCTCAGAAATTATCGAAGTTAGGTTATCGAAAATGACAACAAACCAATCTTTTGGGTTGAAAGTCTAAATATGCTTATGATGGTAAATATAACGGATTTAGAAGAAAACTATTCCGGCCAACTTAGCTCTCTTAGTTTGATAGTAATAGTCACCGAAATCATAAAATGTAAAATTTCTTACAAAAAAATTACCTAGTCAAATGAACTAGAAAAAACGGCAAAACGATCCCTACACTGCAGGTGGTCCGTTGGCTGGCACTAGGCTGTTTTTATAAACCGACAAAATTAACTTTAAAGAAGAAATATTTTAACAGTTTTACAACGTGTTAATTTACTGTCCTAACCTAACATACTTAGGTATCGGTATTACGCGACGCAGTCGGTCGCAAAATTATTGGTTTGGTCGGCCCATTCAGTGTTTATCTGAGCGGAGTGCGCGACGGAACGCGCCGGAGACACGCTCCCGTACCACATGCCCTGCGCTGTCACTCGTCACTCTCGTCTCGTCAGTGCTTTGCTTTGTTTGCTGTGAGTGATCCGCGGACTCGGCGATGTCTTACCACGATTATAATGTGTTTAAGGTACCCACACTTATTATTCACAATACACAGATACTAGTGCATGAGTGCATAGATACCACATTATTTATTGTACACCATAGTATCAACAGAAATCTGTTCATTGATGGCTGAATTCTTTGAAACAGGAATGTGAAACACGTAATAAGAACCTAAAGTTTAGACGTACAAGTGCTAATTTGTTTCATTATGGTCTACCCCTTTATATCAGAACTTTTTGTGTCAATATTATTTTGTAAAACAACGGATAGCATCAACTTCATTTCGCAGAAAACCGTTCGGCAGACACTCATTTATCATACATTCAAAACTCATAATTCTGTAAGTCATAATCATCTTTAGGCATAAACTTGATATTCATTATAATTAAAAAGTAGAACCATCATATCGCCGAAAGTTCGTAGTCAGAATCGTATTTGAGCATAACTTTCATACTGATAGTTATTAAAAGGCAGAACATATATTATCTCAGGAAGTTTACAGTGAGAATCATCTTTTGGAATACATTGCATATCTATAATAATTAATATCATCATTTTGTATTTCTTGGGACGTGGACTTGGACCGCCTCGACCCTCGACGCCTACGCGGGTGACAAGATTTACTTATTTTGTAAACAATTATTAATTCAAAAACCTATTTTTATTTTGTGTTATTTGCACTTATCAACTTTAAATTATTTTTATATGAATATTGCTAACGGAAGTTGTACTGATTGATTTTTGATTTATTTCAAACTACCAATATGGTAGGGTAAAACGTGGGCAGATACGTAAGTTAAGTACAGTTGTATTTATTTGCTATATAAGTTATTTTTATGGTAAACGGGCATTGACATTAGTATAACGTGTAATATTAGTGTTTTGTCTGTACGTTTGTATTTATTTGCTATTTAAGTTATTTTAGGGCAGATTGGCATTGACATTAGTATAATGTATAATGTTAGTGTTTGTTGTAACTAAGAAGTAAATATATAAATAGCAATGTTATTGGTATTAAATTGATTAGTTATATAAATTACTAATAATGCTAGTAGTTGTTATGATAATAAATAATTGTAAATTTAAAGCATTAATCTATCATTTTTTCATCGTTCATTTCGAGAAGCTAAAATAATTACTTTAAAACATTGAATAATTAATAATCAAAACTACTTACATATTTTATTTATTAATAAATTTCTAGTTTAAATTCATTCTTGACTTTCAGTATTTACTCCTTGACTTTTATCCCAACTGTGGGTATATTAACAAAAATCTAACACGGGCTTAAATAACACTCTAGGGGTAGGGCAGACAAGACTACATGGAGTCGGTTTTGCAGCGATTCGTTTCTGACACAATCTTTTGTAGCAATACGTATGACTTTTTAAGATAATATTTTAATTTAAGTTTAAAAATGCTATTTTATGGCAATACGCTTAATAAAATTATTCCAAATGATATTGTCGACGAAATTATGCGTCTTTTTAACTCTGCCAAAGTTAAATAAATTATGCCATCTTATAAGTATGCCACTGTAAATTATATTTGGACATATTAATATTCGGCCAAACAATAATTATAATTAAATACCTACTTAATATTTTTATGCCTTAAAAATATTACTTTACAGAAGATTCCGAAAAGTGAGTTATGCGAAATAAATTTCGGAGTATCAAGATTCTGCCAGATATAGGGAACACGTTTCATTAATGTCTTAGTACCTACCTAATATGATAACGCTTCTATGTCTTAACTACTGTAAATTGTGCATACGCTCTCTCGGGGGGTGTAAAACTGTGGGGGCGAGCACGTTGCGAAGCGCGCTCGCTTCCAGGGAGTAGAGGGAACATGGGGTTCCCACACGGGGGGGTCGTCTACTCGTATGTAGATGGCCCGAGGTATGTCGGGGCACCAGGGACTTCCTTTCTAGGGTATACCTGGTTCCCCGGCTATTAGTACCCGAGACGGCGTGCGGTTTTAGTTGATTCGAGTCCGACATGCCACCACCACATAGGTGGTATCCGCAGGGATTTCCGCACGGAAAAAAAAAATAGTTTCCTAGAGAAAAATCCTAGAGAAAATAGGTTGTACGGGAACGGAACCGCAGACGGAAGCTAGTGAGGTATAATATGTTTAAAAACAGCTACATAAGTCGAGTATCATGTTGTTATATTGGCCTGGAGTGTACCAATGGTTGGATGGTTCAACATACGTATACTGGAAAGAAAAATAATTTTATTTTTAATTTGATTAGAAAAAAGTATAACAAAGCTTTAAAGGATTAAGTTCCGAGTAGGACCTCCCATCAAGAAATTAGATAAACATGAATGTATATTGTATTGAGTCATTATTGTTGTTGTGAACGTGCTTTAGTCTTGCAGCTTCCCTACACGCTTTTATTAGACTTAAGTATTTAATTTTGTTGTGTGTATGCAATGTAAGCGCACAAAATCTTTGAAATTCTCGGATTTTCTATACTAAAATATACATGTATTATACATATACCTCTTGAGTCACTCTCTCTATAAGTAAAAATCGCATTAAAATCCGTTGCTTAGTTTAAAAGATCTAAGCGCACAAAAAAAGCAACTTTATTTTAGACTTACAAATTAAAGTAGCCTACGTCCTTCCTTAAGAATAAAAACTATCTCCATCTACGAAATTTCATCTTAATCGCTCCAATGATTACTGTTTCCCCATACACACGCCCAGCCCCCTTTTAACTCCCTTAAAGGATAATTTCTGGAATAAAAAATATCCTATGTTCTTTCCCGGGACTCAAACTGTCTCTTAAGTGACTACCGCAGCCCATGGATACCTGCAACTTAAAAGTCATAAGTGCGTTAATATAAAGCCATTTCAGTCTCTCTCTGCAGACCAGAGGAGGGGGGAGGGTTTTGGGTTCTGGGGACCTCACTCCCTCACACACTCGATGAAAAAAAGTAAAAGAATTTCATAACAGCGGTTGTCTGTGAGGCTGTGGTACCTCTCCGGGCGAGGGTGGCCCACATGTGATGAAACATGGCTCTTTAACGAATATTATTGTTTTTTAAAGGCGTGCCAATTTCGGTTTTGAAAAATTTACGAAATTAATTTATAACCGTATTTGGATCCTACATTGGCTAAATATTATTACTTCATTTAAAAAAAAATGTTTCTTTCGATTTTAAATGATTCAGTCGGATAAACTGACGAATTTGAGGAGCTCAAAGTACAGCGCGCAGTTCTCCACGTAATCCCAGAACGTGATTAATGTGAAATCATCATTTTCTTGGCAAAATATTGCAGATCAAAGTTCCTCGTTACAGCTTCGTTACTAGTTACAGCCACGTTAGAATTTATAATAGTGTCAAAGCCTCGCCCCGCGTCATCGGTCACTGAATACGTTAGTGACAAATATAAAGAACGTTGACTTGCAATAGGTTTAAATACAGTTTATAATTGAATAACATTAATGAGAGAAGTTGCCGTCATACTCATTCGGCTTACAACGATGCCCCCGCGAACCAGTAGTTAATTTATTCTATTTCACATATATTTTAAAGGCAACAATTTAGAATAGGCAATTGTCAATTTTCCCTTGTTTTTTTTGGTTTATTTATTTACATAACTAAACAATTAAAACCTTAAACCACTGGGGCTTATGCGGTATGCCACAACATGCAATATTAATATAGTACATAACAATTAATAAGTAAATGACTAATAATTGTTTACCAATAATGGCATTAACTTAATTATATTAGGTTTGAATAGAATAATAAAATATTGACGAGCGGGCGAACAGTTTTTACTCTATAACCAGTGTTACGTTTCGTTATTCCGTGTGTTTCACCGAGTAAGGTTACCAATCCTCCATCCTTTACGATGGTGGGCCAGTGTTGACTACCGTATGAAATTTTACCCATAACAACTAAGAAACAATTTTTTTTTTAAACAATTTTGTAATAAAGTAAATTTATTTAAATATTCTAAATAATATATTTCGAATTGAATAGAATAGGTATAAATAATAAAATAACTGGAAATATTTGGTTAAAAGGGTTTATATTCAGTGTAAAATCAAACTGCGCTGTGAAGCATCAGTTTTGTATACAATTGTCTTTTAGACTCTTTTTTATAAGTTTGTGTGGATATTGTACTTTCATGATACAATCTTATTTTTACGTATGTAAAAATAATAGCATTTAATAATAAAAGTGAATGATCAACTTGTACTGATAATAAATAATCCCCAGGGTGTATTGCAAATTCTATTATAATTTAAAAAACAAATAAAAAAAAAAAAAAATTACATTTTATATTTTTTTTCATTTATGTTTATTTACCTTTTTATTTTATATTTTTTTTTTTTATTTTTATGAAAAACATTTTTTATTATTATTATTATTATTTTGTACAATTATTATTTAAAATTGATAATAAATTAAGAAAAACAATGAATTAATTCTTTTGTACAAAAGTCTCCAGCACTGCGAGCTTGGCACTTCTGCCAAGCTCGCAGTGAACGTTCAACGGGTCCCTAAAAAAAGTGATCGGTCCAGCCCTAACAACTACCGTTCTTCCTATATTTTATTATTATTGGCAAAATGTTTAAAAACAGTATTAAGCATATTATTTCACAAATTATAAAATCTCCCACTAATGTGGGAAAACCAAAATGATTTTTTAATGGTAACACTGATTCTAAATGACAATTATCAGTGTTTTATTTCAATTATAGCCTTATTTACGATATTATCAATACAAAAAAAATGAACTTACACGTGAAAAGTAATTCCGCATGATTTATTAATGTTTTGTGACCTTGAAACGCATTCTTTCACTACGCATTTAGCCATTTTGGCGATTGTTACTGTCATGTGTCGCTATGTTCAACTCGGTTGACGCCACATTGAATACTGAATTGACGTTTGCTACGCATATGCCTGTGGACAGATGTGCAGTAGCAACGATTTTAGGCGGTAATTACTCATCTATGTAAGTATTATATCAATGCGAGCAAGGCGCATGTTCTCT